TCGTCTCTCTGACTGAAACAGGCTGTTTTGAATGCACTTATCCAGACTAAACAGGATACATTTTTTTTTCACCCTATTACGTTAACACTGTTACTCTATTTGTCTATTTGTGTGTCTCCCTTTCTCATTCCCTCCAAAATGAATGAAGCTACCTTTGGATGATTTATATTTTTTATATCCTGAAACTCCAAACCATGTGCATGGGTTAGTTGAATACCCCATAGGTACAGAACGGATACAGATTACATTGATCCAGAACTTGCTTTTTGTATTTGTTTTTGTACTTTTCTATTCCCTGTGTGTGTCCTCTCTATCACACTCTCTTGATCTTTTGCGAGAGGAATAGAAACATGAGGATGGAGAGGTAAAAGAAAATGAAGTTGTTACTTTGTCCCCTGTGCTGAAGTTTTGTATCCACCTGAGCGGTCCAGCAACTCCCTGTAAAATCGGTGGAACAACGGTCACATTGCGTGACAGTACACAGGCTGTGTGGCTCTGGAGAAGCTGTTTCAGCAGGGAGTCCAGCATCGTTCTGATTCATCTGAAGCGTTTTAGTATTCAAGTTGTGAGAGTTTACTTCAACGCAACCTGATCCAGCGGGCAGAAGGAGAGAATGACAAAGGGAAAGGCCGGATAAGTAGGGTGTGGAAGGAACAAATTAAAAAGTCAATGAGTCTCCCTTGATCCCTTGATCAACACCTCCCTGGAGACATGCCACGTACCAGCCTGCTTCAAGGCCTCCACCATCATCCCTGTTCCCAAGAAGCCCAGGATCACAGGACTCAATGACTACAGGCCCGTCGCCCTGACCTCTGTAGTCATGAAGTCTTTTGAACGGCTAGTCCTGACCCACCTGAAGTCCCTCACCGACCCCCTCCTGGACCCCCTGCAGTTCGCCTACAGAGCCAACAGGTCTGTGGACAATGCTGTCAACATGGCCCTCCACTACATCCTCCAGCATCTGGACTCCCCAGGAACCTACGCCAGGATCCTGTTTGTGGACTTCAGCTCTGCCTTCAACACTATCATCCCGTCCCTGCTGCAGGACAAACTCTCCCAGCTGCACGTGCCCGACTCCACCTGCAAGTGGATCACAGACTTCCTGTCTGACAGGAAGCAGCACGTGAAGCTGGGGAAACATGTCTCAGCCTCTCGGACCATCAGCACCGGTTCCCCCCAAGGCTGCGTTCTTTCCCCTCTGCTCTTCTCCCTGTACACCAACAGCTGCACCTCCAGCCACCAGTCCACCAAGCTCCTGAAGTTTGCGGATGACACCACCCTCATTGGACTTATCTCTGGTGGGGATGAGTCTGCCTCCCCCATCACCCTGTGTGACTCCCCCGTCACTATTGTGGATTCCTTCCGTTTCCTGGGCTCCATCATCACCCAGGACCTCAAGTGGGAGCTGAACATCAGCTCCATCACAAAGAAGGCTCAGCAGAGGTTGTTCTTCCTGAGGCAGCTGAAGAAATTCAACCTGCCAAAGACGATGATGGTCCACTTCTACATGGCCATCATGGAGTCCATCCTCTGCTCCTCCATCACCGTCTGGTACGCTGCAGCCACAGCCAAGGACAAGGGCAGGCTGCAGCGTGTCCTCCGCTCTGCAGAGAGGGTGATCGGCTGCAATCTGCCGTCCCTGCAGGACTTGTTCGCTTCCAGGTCTCTGAAGCGAGCTAAAAAGATCGTGGCCGACCCCTCTCACCCCGGACAAAACCTGTTTGTGTCCCTTCTATCTGGCAGGAGGCTGAGGTCCATCAGGACTAAGACCTCCCGCCACACGAACAGTTTCTTCCCGTCGACAGCCGGTCCCCCACTGACTGACTATAACACTCCACCGGTCACTCCCCTCCACACTGCACATGTCACTTTAAATGCAATTCATCACTTTGTCGTCACTCGTCACTTTGTTACTTGTTCGTTAGTGCACTTTATGCTTAACATTTTTTTACTTTTTTAATATTTTACATTTTTAACTTTATTCCCTTGTTTTATACTAACCCATAGCCTTATTCTACTAACCCATTGCATTAGCATTTCATTTTACTTTATTTTATTACTTGTGCACTGTTGTCTTGTCTGTCTACTGTCGCGCACTAACCGCCAAGACAAATTCCTTGTATGTTTGACATATTTTGGTAATAAATGTTTCCTGATTCCTGATTCCTGATAAGTGTGCGTGTTTGTGTGAGCGAGTGTGCGTGTTGGTCTGCAGCTCTTATCGGTGGTACAACGGCATAAAGGTTAATTCTCATTCAGCCCAAAGACTGTGTGTGTGTGTGTGTGTGTGTGCGACTTTGTTTGTTTGTTTTATGTGCCTCTGTGTCTGAGTGATGTAGCTCTTACGTCCTTTAGACAAAGACGGTGAAGGTGCTTCAGTTTATCCAGAATAGGTCATTTTTGGATTAACACTTGGATTCATAGCAGAACAAGCCGGTAAGAGTTGTACTTTTACAGCATTTTACAGCCTTCAAGGCTCAACACAAGTGGCTGGAACGCCTCAAAGTCTTTTCCCCTCTTATATAATATGCATTTGCCTTCATACAAAATGTGGATTTCATCCAGTCTTTTGCAAGAGAGATTTCCTCCCATGAAAGCGGTAGCAGTCTCTAATCTTCAATGAGCGTTGGTAGTGAGTTAATAACGCCGACTCATTTCAGTCTGTGATAGCGATGGTGGTGCAGTTCTGATTCCTGGTATCTATCTATGTTTTTCCATCAACATGCAGCTTAAAATAACACTTGACCTAATGTTTGTTGTTTTATCTGCAACATTGATAGGACACCAAACTTATATCATCTCCAGATATCTTATTCAATTTTGTTCTGAGGGAACCTCCTAATGTTCACTAACACTCATTCATCCTTCATGTGGCTTTTTCCTCTTGTGTTTTTACTAAAATACTATGCTTTTCTATACCCTATAATTTTGTTCTATATATTTTGCTTAAGTTCCGTACTATGATATATTGTGTGAGTAATATGAAGGAGAATAAAAAATGCAATGAACGGTTTAATCCTTTTATGTGATTTATCTTAAAACGAACACAGAGAGTGAATCTGAAAGTTTAAACACCGTCGGTCTTATCTGCCCCTCCGACAGCCCAGATGTTGTAGTTCTGGCGCAGATGCGAATAAACTGTTGAATAAACTAATCTGTTGCCGAACCGCAGCCTCGTCTACTACAGAGAAAAACATAATAATACAAATTAAAACAAAACGCCCTGCTAATGTACTTTACGTTACCAACCGCCTTTACTTAAAGGTCTGTGGATGTGTGTAGGTGTGTGTGTGTGTGTGTGTGTGTGTGTGTGTGTGTGTGTGTGTGTGTGTGTGTTATCCGTGCTATGAGGGCACCGCTTTTAGATGCTCTTTGGCTGTACAAAAGACAACTGTGATAAATGAGCTGCATTTCACATTCTTACACCTCATCTGGTATCACACACACACACACACACACACACAGTACCTTTTCTTTTTTGAAGCAACGCTTTTTTGACGACGTGTGAAGCTTATTTGTGAGAGCGCGTGCAGAGGCTGAGTAAGATGAAGGACTCGACCCCGAGAAGACGATTGCTTCATTGATTCACAACTTTCTCCCCCCAAATATCAGCCTCTTCTTCCATCTCTTCTTCCTTTTGACAACCAGGGCTGACAAAATGCCACGTCTTTGCTCCCGAGAGCGGTCGCAGAGAAAGCCAGACAAAACACCAGCTTTCACATGTTCCGCTTTACCTTCTCTGATAAACTCACAAAGATGCCCAGTCACATGTATTTAACGCTTCCACACTCCATCAATCGTGAAAGTCTTGATGGCGTTTTTGTGAATGAAAGGGATGTTCGGTGATGGACCGAACATGAAAGGGATGTTCGGTGATGGACGGGCCAACGTAGATCCGAGGACTCCAACCACCTCAGGTCTGCTCACTCACTTTGCTCTCCTTCGCTGTCTGTTCCTTTACGTGACGCTTTCTTTCTCATATACACGTATTCAAGAAATGTCAGCTTGATAAATTACCCGTGTAAGATAACAGCAACAGTGACAGGAAACTGCAGGGACACGTGACCAAGGTTACAAGCCACTCTCATGGCTTCTTGCCATGTCTCTCACATCAGCACCAGGACGCCCGTTGCTCTCACAGCTTTTCCCAATTAAGAGTTTGTGTGAGGCCTGAAAGGTTGTTACGGTGTAAGGTTGGTACGTAGTCAGCAGATTTCTGCTTAGTGGAGGTGCAGTGTATTATTGGGATGTGGAGAGGGCATCGATCTCTATCAGCACTCCTATAGAATGAATCTACCCACATGCTGAAAAAAACCACATGCACACACACACACTTTGATTGAGCTCAACGGTGTTTTCATTCTAGTGCGTTTGCTCGCTTTGAAAGAACACTTAATGGTAAAATGATGCAATTTTTTTACTGTTTAAAAGACAAAATAATTACAATGGAATAATTACTTTTTTGCGGTAGATTAATTTCTTTAAGTGAATTAGATTTTTGCTGGCATTTTTATACTCACACGCAAACAGCTGTGGTCTTGATTTGGGGATTTTTATGGATTTGTAAAAAGTCACTATCAGAACTGGTTCTAACCAAAGAATAAACTGTGTTACTCAAATCAAATTTAAGAAGTGCATTACTGGGATGCTGCTTTTAGTCTACTCTGTGGAAAAAAGCTGCAAGACAACCGGTAAATGCTAAACACTGGTAAATGTGCCAGACTTTGCATTTAATATGCTGAACAAGCAATTTGCAAGAGTGCCGCTGAAATAAAAATCAATTAACTATATCTTTGTCAAAATTTGATGAAACAACAAGTCACCATGGTATTGGTGGAGCAAATCAAGGAGTCTTCCTCTTTTCCACTCTGGTAATAATAACTTTTAAAGTGTTTCTACGTAGTAACAAAAAGCAGGTTGCAAACAAAAACTGATGACTTCTTAAAGTATGAAAACGTGTATCGATTTTAAATGAAAAAGGGCTTTAATCTGTTTTCCAGAGACCCGGGAGGACCGCACAAAGAGACTGTTCCGACACTACACTGTGGGATCCTATGACAACTTCACCTCATACAGGTACAGCCTCGTCCTCTGAGCTGGCGTGCTAGAGTAATGTGCAGTGACATGCCAATTGGAGTATCCTGAACTGCACAAACTGTGCACACACATGCCTTTTTCTGTGCTTCACATTTTTGGGCTTTCTCGGCATCTTTTCAATGCTCTCATTTCATTTTTTACTCTTAGTCAATCTCTTATTTTTTCATTGTGCCCTCGCTGCCTCAAGCTGACATTTATTGTAAATATTGTGAGTGTCAGATTGACCTCTCTTCTAAATCAAATTACATTACATTACATGTCATTTAGCTGACGCTTTTATCCAAAGCGACTTACAATAAGTGCATTCAACCATAGGGTACAAACTCAGGAGAGCAAGAAACAAGAAAGTGCAATTTCCTCAAATAAGCCAATTTACAATTTCATATAAATAAGTGGCGTTATAAGTACAATTTTAGTGCTACAATTTGTTAGTCTTTAGTCGAGGTAGAGTCTGAAGAGGTGTGTCTTTAGTTTGCGGCGGAGGTTGTGAAGGCTCTCTGCGGTCCTGGTGTCTTCAGGGAGCTCGTTCCACCATTTCAGAGCAAGGACAAATGTTACACATGAGAGGGTATGTGTGGTTTTGTTATGAGCCAATTTTCGGCTTCAGTGCCATGTTGTGTCAGTTTGCGACACAGCGCTAGTCTCATTCAGCATTGTTTCCACCCATCTCCTCAACCCTTCACAGAATGTCAACTTCTTGCGCTCTAGCTTTTAGTTGCATTAAATGTCTTTTTTGTAACCAGGGCTTTAGGTTTGTATAATTTAGCATTATTACAGTCCCACTCTTCTGCGTGTGTATTGTACAATATATTTTTTTCCTTTGGAATGGAAGACAGTAGCTTTAACCAAATATAGTTCAGTAGAGAACTGGGAAAACACAAAATGTTTAAACACTGCGAAAAATCCAAGCAAGTTACAGGTATGACGTTGAGGTTTTAAAGGGTAGATGCAACATCTCTGAATAAATACCAGTTTGCAAATGCCAGCCAAAGGTCATGAGTCAAGTTTTACAAAACAGCACTCCTGGAAGTACTATAAAATCACTAATTTTGACATCTACCCCTTTAAATGATCTCTTCCATCTGCCATTTGTTATTATTCTATGTTGGCGGATAGAGATTCTGAACAACCACAGTGAACATATTGCAATAATGCGGCATTTCGGGAGATAGAGCAGACATCAAAGCTTCGTGAATAAAGTGGTTCTTACTGAAACACCACAGTCTTCTGTGCATAACATTTGGTGCAAAAGTGGATGGATAGGTTTTTATAGAAACAAACCTTTGACCTCCCTTCTGCAGAAAGGTTTCTTATGGATCTCCTGGCTCCAGAAGCAGGAGCTCTGTGTTCCCTCGGTAAGTCGCAAAGCGTGGAGTGTAACTAAGCCAACAAAGACCGCGGCCGCCTATTGCAACCTGAACACCCCAAAATACTACAAACCTCCTGGCTTTTGTCAAGGTGTTCAGGCTATATACTGTACACTGATCATAAGTGTAAATCATTACAACTCATTCATACTTATTTACTTGAACATTACCAGTCAGTCAGTTTGATGAGAAAGAAAGAATGAATATCTTTCGCGCACACATGCAGCCATCGTTCCGATATTGGCTTTGCTGCTGGAGACTGCTTTACTAACTCGTCGTGGGTTTGGCTCACAGGCTGTGGACAGCGATGATTAGCTTGAATGAATACAATTAAGTTTGTGCAGAGCGGCACAGGTTAATACCATCAAACAGCCTCCACCCCTCAACACTTGGGGAAATCAGGCAGTGATGAAGCGCTCACTTACTTTTGCCTCCTATTCCCTCTGTCATTAATCAGGGGATAATATTGCATCTCAGACATCTCTGTCGCACTTTCAGTAGAAGGACTTCACATCCTCTGCAGCTGCAGTCTCATCGGAGAGATCCGCCCAAAGATTGATCACTTAGGTTTTATCTCGATGATGATACTTCCATCATAAGGACTCCCTCTCTCTCTCTCTCTCTCTCTCTCTCTCTCTCTCTCACCTGTCCATCCTCTCTCACTCTGTTCCTTTCCTTCACTGGTAAAGCCCCTGGTAATTGAGCTATGGTTTCATGCTTAACTTGAGAGTTATCAGAAAAGGACAGACAGGTGTGTGTGTGTGTGTGTGTGTGTGTGTGTGTGTGTGTGTGTGTGTACCTCCATATCCTCTGTCAACAACCCCCGACCCATCGCCTCTACTCTGCTCGCCTCTTCTCTCTTTGTGTCTGTGAGGATGGTGTTGGATTCATGCCGGCTTTGCTCTCTCCCCTACAGTGACTACATCATAGAGGAAAAGAATGCTGTTTTGCAGAAGAAAGAAAATGAGGGGTTTGGTTTTGTCCTGCGGGGAGCCAAAGGTGAGACCCGCCCAACGATACGCACACAGACCTTTTGCAAAACATTCACCCTCACCACCGAGCTGTTTCACACTCGAGAGTTTTAATGCAAGAAGCAGTTTATTGATCTGAGTCACTGAGTGCGTTTCAGTCTGTATTGTTACTGTGTGAGTCAACACAAGCACGCTTTGGTCAACACTCATCTTGTGTGTGTGTGTGTGTGTGTGTGTGTGTGTGTGTGTGTGTGTGTGTGTGTGTGTGTGTGTGTGTGTGTGTGTGTGTGTGTGTGTGTGTGTGTGAGCATGTGCAGGCACTTGGTGGCATCCTTGGCAGAGCTGGCGGCTAGCTGTCCCATCTGTTCCCCGCACATGGCGTTCAGCTTTAGTAGAGGCCTCTCTGATTTCTTTCATCTTTACTCAGCCTGCCCTTGTTTTTCGGTCTTCTCTGCCCTCCTCCACCTCCTTCCCGTCTATTATCCTTCCGAATACTTTAACGCCGCTGCTTTGATACCTTCAGCACTTGAGCTGATATCATCAGATATCATTCTCCTTGCTCATCCTGGTTACCATGGCAACCCCTCTCTGGCACCTTAGCGGGAGTCTGAGTGTGCTTTACTGCTCCATCACTCACTACCAAGAATCTTGGCTCACCCCGCTCTCTTTTACTCACTCTATCTCGGACTGTCCAGTTCTCTCAGACACATGCTCACACTTACATGAGCACACGCTGTTGTTCACCTCGTGGTCCTCTGAGAACGCTCATGTGTCAGGTATTTTTTTTGGATTCGTTCCAAGATTCAGTGGAGTTTATGGTGGCACATCACACTCACCTAACAAAGTGTGCTAGTGCATTTTAGTCTATTTTGTTAAGACGCGAATGCAGTTGTGCAAGTGTGTGAGCATTTCATTATATTCACCTGTATGTTTCAGTTTAAAGAAATTAAATCAGAATTAAACAACATTTTCCAAATATGAATGGCTGCATGTCTTACGTTTTTACACAGCAGAGACGCCCATCGAGGAGTTCACCCCCACCCCAGCGTTCCCGGCCCTCCAGTACCTGGAGTCTGTGGACGTTGAGGGAGTGGCCTGGCGGGCTGGTCTTAGGACAGGAGACTTCCTCATTGAGGTAATCAAAGACACTTAATTTGCTTCCCCTTCATGAATTTGCTGGAAATTGGTAATTATCGTGTTTTAATATTTTTCGGCGTTGTAAAATATTTTCCTTTACAGTATGCTAACATACCTCATTCTGTCTGTGTGTGTGTGTTGTCTTAGGTAAACGGGGTTAATGTAATAAAGGTGGGCCATAAGCAGGTGGTGTCCTTGATCCGCCAGGGGGGCAACAAGCTGCTGATGAAGGTGGTGTCTGTGACGCGCAAACCTGAATCCGAGGAAGTTGTTCGCAAGAAAGGTAAACAACAAAGGACAATCTCCTGTGTTAAATTCAATATCACATTTGGACTGTATTAAATGTCAAAGGCAGCTCCAATATTATTTGAAATCTCGGGGTAAATGTGGTTGCACATAGAGGCCTTTTGTAACTAGAAAATGCATTTCCTGCTGAAAATGCGTTGGAATGCAAAAAGCTGAAAGCTGAAATGAATTTTTAAAAATAGCTGAAATTACAGAAATTTGAAGGGAATTTGAATACATTTGCTGAAATTACAGATATTAGAAAAGCTGAAATTAATTTGAAGAATTTGCAGGAGCTTAAATGAATTTTAAAAAGTACTGAAATAACAAAAGCTGAGATATATAAAAAGAGGTTTAAAATTGTTTGTAGTAATATTAGTAGTAGTATTAGTTATAGTTGTAATTGTGGTATTAGTAGTACTAGCAGTAGAAGTTGGTTTAGTATCAATAGCAGTAGAAACAATACTGATACTATTAGCCATAGTAGTATTTGTAATAACATTAGTATTAGTTGTAGTATTAATAGCAGTAGAAATACTAGTAGTGTGGTAATAGAAGTATCAGTTGTAGTACTAAAAGTACTAGTAATATTCGTAGTGGTTGTAGTAGTATTTGAAAGAGCAATACGTATTTCAACGAAACCGCTTCATGGTTAAGGTACAGATAATCATTGAGGCTTTTATTTTGTAATGATGGAATTGGGTGAGGGGGGGTTGGGAGACAGAATGTTTGTTATAACTAAAAAGTTTTTAATTAATAGGCCTCATCACAAACATTACAGTAAAAATTCCCTCCATGGGGCTTTTATTTTGTAATTATTGGACTGGGTGGGGTGGGGGGGTGTAGATAGAGGGAGGGAGGGTGAGAGTGTGAGGAAGGAAGGGGTGGTGAGGATGAGATAGAGATGGAGAGAGGAGGAGAAATAGACAGACAGACAGACTGACTGTCTATGATTAACAGTGAGAAGAGGTCAGGGTGGAGGGGGGAGGGGGGCGAGTGTCTTTATCATATTGGTCTGTTGACAGAAAGCATAGCTGCGTCATGTGACTCCACTAATCAGGTCATAGGAGCAGCTGTGAGTCACAGACAGAGATACTGCAGCGTGTGTGTGCGAGTAACCACGGCAACGGCGCACCTGGGCTCATTAACGAGCTGCTGCAAAGGGCAGAGACAGGACAGCGAGTTACACAGAATCCACACCTCAAACAAATGACAACCAGCGCAAAACTATAACAGCTATCTAAAAAATACGCTGTTTGTTCGAGACCCAAGACTCTACCGAACGCAGGGAGGTGTTATTTATGTCTGTCCGGTAAAAAATACGGCTCCTGTTGAAGTTTACAAAACGTGTACCTTCTGGATTTTTTGAGAAATATGTCGGCAGATTTGTATTGGAGCCTATGGGGCTTTTAGCAGAGGTTGTGTGACTGTTGGTCTCCGTAGGCCAGACCTAAAGAACTCTGGGATTCTATGAACACATTAATCCAATCAGCACAACCGTGCCCTCGTTAATCTGAAGAAATGAAGCATCAAAAGTGTATACTTTGGCTGTAAGGACAGAAGTTCCATATTTTTTTAACCAGATTCTGACACTGCCTCACACTCTAAGATCTCCGGGTCTCACTCTAGCAGACGCAATACACACTCATGTAAAAGTCAGAAACGGAGCGAAGAACTAGTGAAACATAATCAGTGATTATGAAAAAAGTAGAATAGATATCAACAAGCAGTTTTTTTCATAAAATAGTTGAGACCTGTGTCAACATTTGAAAGTTCAAATGGTGTCTGTAGCTGAAAGATTAGCGGAGCTGAAAAGTCTGAAATTTGAAGACGTTTAAGAGGATTTGAAAACAATCTCATTGGAAAACCATGTTAAAATATTAATTATTATTGATTTATATAAATTCAAGCAAAAGTGGTAGAAAGCTGAAAAGTCATAGCCCTAAAGCCAGAAATGAGCTGAACATTTCAATATTTGAATGGTTTTAATAGCTGAAATTGTGAAGGAGTTGAAAGGTGCCACGGAAGAAATAGAATAATAAGTCGGAAATAAAGATTCGAAGAACAATACTTGGAATGCTTAATGCATTCCAACAATAAAGATTCGAAGAACAATACTTGGAATGCTTAATGCATTCCAACAATAAGTTGAATAAAGATTCGAAGAACAATACTTGGAATGCTTAATGCATTGCAACAATAAAGAATAGAAGAACAATACTTGAAATGCTTAATGCATTCCAACAATAAAGAATAGAAGAACAATACTTGGAATGCTTAATGCATTCCAACAATAAAGAATAGAAGAACAATACTTGGAATGCTTAATGCATTCCAACAACTAGAAAATGCATTTCCATGCATTCCGATTCCAAGTAATCGTTCCAACAACGATTACTTAATAATGTTACCAATTGCGTAGTAATGGCTTTATTAAAGCTTATTGGGTGCTTTTTTAGCATTACACGTATTTCTCATGAACTTTTAATCTCGGACTCTACAGAAGACACGTGTGTTTTCTGTTTCTGTAGGTGATTTCCAACACGTTTCTCCGCTGTAAATTCATTTAGTTTCCATGTCAAAACTCTCCATTACTAAGCTCCCACACAGTTATGACCTCAGGACTGTGTGTGTTTGTGTGTCCTTTGTGGTTATTGAGAGACTGGAAAATGTGTTTGACCCATAAACTAAAAACGGTTGGTATATTATAGTATCTGTTCATCGCTGTCTCCTCCCTCGCGCTCTCTCTCTCTCTCTTGATCATCCCTGTTGTCCACAGAATACTTTTTTGAAGCTTTGAACTGCATTTCAGTCTTCCTCTGGGGGTTGAGCCATAATTTATTTGACCTTGGATAATCTTCTTGCATGAGACAATTAACAGCGCTCTCATTTTGGGCTAGTTTAGGACGGCAAAAATACTGTAAAGACGCATCGATTAGGCTACAAGCGCCGCTAAAGCTTACTAATTAACATGTAAAAACTCTATATGTACTTGTTTAATCCATGCAAAATATATTTTCCATATATATTATGCCGCACCTCTGCAGAACTGCACGGACATCATCAACTCACACACAGGGACCTGTAGGCAAATCACATAAAAAAAGCTTGTTTTCTGCACCATGCGAGGCCTCACTGCTGCCAATGTTGCCATGGTGACTACACTGCATATTTGAAATAAGCATTACATTACAGCAAAAATCCCTCTCTCTCTCTCTCTCTCTCTCTCTCTCTCTCTCTCTCTCCCTCCCTCTGACCGTTGCTCTCTATTTCTCTGTCCTCCTCAATCTCTTCTGCTCCTTGCTAGTATACCACAATGTGCAGACTGGTGGGGAAAAGAAGATGTTTGATATGGACTCTACCCAGGATGGTGTTCGTGCTCTAGATCTGCAGCTGCTGCTGCTGCAGCAGGATAGTTGGGCTTTAGTGAGACACCCGTGGGACTTATAGATCTAGCGCTCTACAGTAGTGCAGTGAGAGCCAGCTGGTCGATCTCGGATAGAGTGAGCTGATCTACTCGTGTTGTGGAGTATTGATTTGTGTCCGACTGCATGGCATTACATCGTTACTGTGGACTTATCGTGTCAAAACACGGTGACTTTATTGGGAATTTGCTCAGTCAGATTGTTTATTGCGACCTGATAGAAAGCTTTTTATTTAAACCTGTGACTCTATCGCTTGCTTTTGGAGCTGATATTTGTTAAATGTGTTTTACCGTCTTGTGCAATAAAAGGATAAAAGCCCAGTTGCCTTGTGTGTGTAGAAGGATAAAGAGGCTCCGATGGTCTTTGGGGTATGAAGCTCCCCCCCCATCATTTTCCATAGCTGCTTAATTTACTGTCATATCCTCGGTGGTAAGCCCACATGTCTTGATGTCCTCCCTCCGGGCGTTTCTCTAGATATCTGCATGTGGTCTCGATGTGGGAGGATAGGCATTTGTGTGTGTGAGCCAGTGTCGCCGTGTTCCTTTCTGATGCTCTCCTGCTAAATTCCACACAGGCAGCACATTTAAAAGTAAGATGGACAACTTTCTCCCTCTACTCGCGACAGTCGGTTTACCCCACCTGCCGATTGCGGCAGACGCGTTTCGTTGGTTTGTGTGTAATGGGAGGATTCAGAAAGCTACGGGACGTTGCCAGACTAAGCTGTACATTTACTGCCCTTGGGCTCCTCAGCAGGGACAAATGTCTGCAGCACAAAGACTAGAAAACTGAAAGTCTTGGAGTCGGACTGAAATATTTACACGCTTTTTGGACCAACAAATAGCTAAACATGAAGAAGTCGGCCTGCAACCGCAGCCTGAACAAGGTCCTGGCTAAATGCGGGCGGTCCAGTTCGTCTGAATTTGACCAGATCAAAGCAGTGAGATCCGGATGGGCTGGCCGTCTGGGGGATGCCAGGAGGGCGCTGAGTCGCAAATCCAAAGGATCTTCGCCCCGCTCAAGTTCGTCTTCAACACCATGCCTTTTTTCCACAGCTCCCCCACCACCCAAAAGAGCTCCCAGCACCACCCTGACGCTGCGCTCTAAGTCAATGACCGCCGAGCTGGAGGAACTGGGTGAGTGCCAGATAGCTGGCATGCAGAACTTGTGCGTGTCTACTAACTTTTAGAGTAGTCAATTCTTCCGTTGGCTTGTTCTCATTATTTTCCCTACTTTGCTGACGCTATCTTTTCCCCACCAAGCTTCTGCTCGGAGGAGAAGAGGAGGTGAGTCTTAGGCAAAAGACTCGACACGTCTCTGAACATCATAATAATAATTTGTTAATTTAGAGCCAAAGAGCAGAACACTTTGGACTTTATTTGGACTCTCTTCCTCTGCCTTTTGTTCCTCTTTCCCTTTCGTATTGCTCGTTCCTTAGCTGTGCTAGTTGTCAGCGAGTAAACCCAGTCAACCTGAGATCTTTTACAATACCATGGAATGGGCCCGTATATATTTTAGTGAACAGCTAAATTTTAGAGATGCCTTTTTTAATCACAATCCCTATTGTGTTAGTAATATCAGAATTTAAGACGCAATGTTTTTCTGGTATTTAGTTCTGGCTCGTTTCCTTCTCAACAGAGAGACTAGATGAGATGTTGGCATCCCAGGAATCTATCTTGCGTTCTCAGCCCTCAGAGGCAGATTACAGAGCAGCGACTGTCAAACAAAGACCCACCAGCAGGAGAATAACACCAGCAGAGATCAGTGTGAGTGCACCTACACATAGCTACCTCAAGATTGAGTAATGCGATTTTTGTTTTTTAATTGAAGGCATTAAAACTATATTTTTACAATTGGTCTCTGTTTGGTTGCGCTGCAGTCACTGTTTGAGAGACAAGGGATGACTCTACATGGAGGTCTTCACCCAGGCATTGAGAGGGGTCATATACCACTACCAAAGGGGATGTCCAGGACCAAGTCTTTTGGTAAAACAATCACCCATCCTGTACATATTCAAATAAGGTGAATGATAGTGTTTCTTATGTGCAGTATGCTCATAGGGAATATATTTACTTATACAGAATAGAAGAAGCTTCATTCTATTTTTGTAAAATTGCATCATTACACCCACAGACAATAGTATATACACAGCAGGACGACAGGCTGGAGATAAAGACTATATTTTCAAGACACAATGTAATAAAATTATTTTTGCATATTTACAGAAACAAAAGTACTTGTACACATTTGTTATTACTACTCTGCCTTATTAAACAGTTTTCCTTGTTTCCAAGTACATTCACTAAACAAATGTTCCATTCTTAGTATTTAAAAGAACAGTTAGTTCATTCAAATGTGTGAGTTAAGAAATTTACAGATGGTTTCATTGCAGTATGCCTGCTTGGCTAGTATAAAATGGTCCAATTTCATGAGCTTACTCCCTGTCACCAGAAGATCTGTGCTCTCCCCTCCCTCATCAGGTGCCACTGAGGAGGATCGGTTGTCTACCCTTGAAGGCGAGCAGAGATTTCCCCGCAGCTCCTCCATGACAGACAGCCTCCGAGAGCCCTCACAGCCCCATCCCATCCCTCCACCGCCACAGACAGCACCTCCCCCTCCTCCCTACTACCTAGACACTGGTCCTCCCCCAGCCTTCTGTCCCCCTCCTCCCCCATCTAGGACTCAGAGTCAGGGTTATGAGCCCGGAGAACGCTCCAGTTTCAAGCCCTCCTCCTTGGACCTGCCTTACGAGGACGCTCACCGGCAGGCGACACACCTGGAAAGACAGAAGAAAGCCCGCTCCATGATTATCCTGCAGGATTCTTCGCATTTACCTGTAGAACCTACGGAAATTCCGTGTCCTTCTGCTGCTCCTCCACCCGAGCGAATCAAAAGGAAGGGCCGAATTATTGACAACCCTTATGCTAATATGGGACAATTTAGCATTGGACTATACACTAAGCCTCAGAGGAAGAAAAGTCCCCTAGTTAAACAACTACAGGTAGGTTAAAACTTGTTTTGGTTTAAAAAAAAAAAAAAAAAGAACTTTGATGTATTGGGCTGATTTTTCTTTTTGTTTTTATGCAGGTGGAAGACGCACAAGAAAAAGCTAGTTTGGCCTTGGCTGCTGCCCACTCCAGAGAGAGCTCCCCGTCAGGGCGACACCAGTATACCCATGGACACACACACACCAGCCGTGGGGACTACTACCAGCAGCAGCTGATGGCTGAGCGAGAGCGCAGCCGCGCCCAGGGAGAGATGATGTTTCAGGGCAAAGGCCCCTTTGCCGCTGCAATAGCTGGAGCAGTAAAAGACCGCGAGCGTCGCCTCGAAGAACGGAGGAAATCCACCGTCTTCCTTTCCGTTGGGACCATGGAGGGGACGTCTGGCACCAGCTGTGACCTCCCTTCTCTGACTCAGTCTCACTCTGTTGATGAGCGGATGCTCAACAGAGAGCTGGGACAGCTGCCTCCCCCCGCCTTGGCCCCGAGCTCCTCAACCAGTGGGACCACCTTTATTCATCCGCTCACAGGGAAGCCCCTGGATCCTAACTCTCCACTGGCTCTTGCGCTGGCCGCAAGGGAAAGAGCGCTGACCTCCCAGAGCCAATCGCCAACTGGCAGCCCAGAGACCAGGACTAAGCATGAGCGGGACCCTCAGACCAAAGAGTCACCACATGGGGAAGGGGCCTCCACAACTCCCCCATTTTCGCCTAAAAGCGCTATGGTAGCGGGGTATGGAGTGGGATCCTCTGCGGCATCTATTTTAGTTCCCCAGCCAACAAAATCCCAGTGGGCCCCATCTCCATCGCCTTTATCGTTCAGGAAAGACATGGAGGCCAGAGTAGAGGAGAGGAAGGGGGAAAAAAGGCTGGAGGATAAAAAAAGTATGTTGATTAGTATTCTGGATACGTCGCAGCAGAAAACTGCAGGGCTCATCATGGTCCATGCGACTAGTAACGGCCAGGCTGCTGGGGTGGGTCCAGAGCCAGAGCGGACACCTTCCCCAAAGCCCACGGAGCCGAGCAAATCTCCCAGTCCTACGGTCTGCCGGCCCCAGGCCCAACTCCAGGCCCAGCCTCAAACTCCTGCCAGTCCGGCCCAAGAGAAAAGCCTGGCTCAGGGGAGCTCCGAGGAGGATGTGGATCCGTACACAGTGACCCTGCCGCCGGCAATTTTGTCCTCCAGTGATGAGGAAACTAGAGAGGAGCTGCGTAAGATAGGAGTTGTTCCGCCGCCAGATGAGTTTTCTAACGGTCTGCTGGCACAGGCGCAAGGGATGCCAGTGTCCCTGATGAAGCCTGCCGCCTCTCCCGCCACCCCTACAACCGCGACACCCACAACTCCCTCAGCTACGACAACGCCAACTGTGACACCCGCCCAGCCTCAGCCTCCCCAACCGGCACCTCCACCCGGTGCAGCAGTTGTCTCAGGGAAGCCCTCTGACCCTCTGGAGCCAGCGCCAGTGGGGGAGACCGGCTCTGCGGCCGACTCTGGCGTGGAGGAGGCCGACACGCGTAGCTCCAGCGACAGAGAGCGAGACCACCACCTCGAGACCACCAGCACCGTCTCCACGGTCTCCAGCATGTCCACGCTGTCCTCGGAAAGCGGCGAGCCTGCTGACACGCACACCACGCACACCTCCTATGCCGACGGGCAGACTTTTGTGCTCGACAAGCCGCCAGTGCCTCCTAAGCCTCGACTCAAGTCCCATATAGGAGGCGGCAAAGGCCCCGTCACCTTCAGGGACCCTCTGCTGAAGCAGAGCTCGGACAGCGAGCTTCTATCACAACAACAGTCCGCCGCTCTGACTGCCGCCGCGGCTGGAGGAGCCGGGCTGCCCGCAGGCGGCTCGGCCTCAGTGACTGGACCAGCCCCGACCAAACCGCGCTATCTCTTCCAGCGGCGCTCTAAGCTGTGGGGGGACCCAGTGGAGCCTCGTGAAGTGGGGCTAGGTATTGGGAGTTTGGGAAACCTTGGTGGACTGGGGCTGGGGCTGGGTTTAGATGAGGTAGCAAAACCAACGGTTATGGGGGAGCTCAGTTCACGACTACAGCAGTTAAATAAAGACACTAGGTCACTGGGAGAGGAGCCACTAGGAGCGTCATTTGACCCAGGGAGGAAATCACCTGTGACAGGTGCCAGGTAAGACAAAAGCTAGTCAGATTCACCACAACAAGGTTTTAATGGTGCCGGAACAAATGGTTTAATGAACATGATTAAACGTCTTTTCGTGTTACTCGATGGTGGCAGAGAAAGAAATGTGAAGTAAGTCCAGTGGCCATGAACAGAAATTGCACAAACTTAAGCTTTTTAAAAATATATAGTTTACCTAAGAAGACTTTCAACTAATCCCATGAAAGATAACAACCCTAATATAAATGTTATATATTTATATATGTTACCTTGTTTGCATTACCGGATTTATTCATTTATTCACTTTTGTAAAAGAAAATCTTGAAGAAGAATATAAATTATTTTGCTATAGCACTCTAAATACATTTGATTGATTTTAGAGACATGCAGTTGTTATGTATACCTCTGGTCTCGGTTCTAAATTTCTCCTTGTTTCCATAGTAACAACTGTACTCCATAACCTACTGTTATATAGTACAGGCAGTTGTTGTCAATAAGGAGAAACTAATGTGTGTGTGTGTGTGTGTGTGTGTGTGTGTGTGTGTGTGTGTGTGTGTGTGTGTGTGTGTGTGTGTGTGTGTGTGTGTGTGTGTGTAATCTGTTGGTGCAAACAAGGTGACAGGGCGTAGAGGCATGCACCTCCTGAAAGCCTCTCCTCATTTCACAGACACGTTCTAACCTCTGACCCCGTTAGTAACTGCCTTTCCAACTCTCCCGTGTTCAAATAATACATAATACATCCTTATATACATATTTCTTTGCAGCCATGATTGATAAATCTCTGATAAGACTGCGAGCTTCTCAAGCTCCTTCTTATCGCCCCCCCATCCTTCCGTAATATCAGTGATAACCTCAAAGACTTAAGGATGCATTTTCATTTGAACACATTAAAACCATCCCCACGTGATTTAGGCATTAACAGCTATGCCAATAATGTGACCAACAGATATCTCAAAGTTCTGAGAAGCCACGGTCAAATAAATGTCTTCACTTTTGATCTACTAATTGATTTTTATTCTAAAATGCTGTTCAGAAGAGTGCTTCATTCACACTAATGTATCACTCCAGATCTCAGAAAGCTTTCAAAGAGCTACAGGGTTTGAAGGCACCCTTCAGGTGACATTTTTAAAACCTTTTTCTTCTTTCTCTCTTTCCTCTCTTGTCCTCTTTTCTGTTTTTACGGATAAGGAGGCTGGAATATTTTGCTTTCGTGTTGCCTATACTTCACTACTTGAGGAGCTAAAAGATATGAAGAAATATTCTAAGTGTAAGCCATCGCTTTTGCAGTCCTCTCATTGTATTAACATCAGCAGGAGGAGCTGACCAACTCCACACAACTGGAACTGCAGTGCTCCTCACGTTGTGTTTACGTCCGTCTGTCAACTCAATTACTTACGTGACAATCAGACAAAGAAAAACTGTTGCAAGAATTGATCAGAGGAAGGGCTCGCGGATATTGACAGTGATTTGACCCCATTTCAAATCACTGTCAATACCCCCAAGTACAATTGAGGGAAAAAAAGCTTTGCGAGGAGTGATGGAGGTTGAGCGGGAGAGGACGCTCCTCGCGCTCACGCATTTTTTTTGCTTTTTGAATTGTACACGTGGGACCTCTAGACCGCAGGTGGTGACAGTAACTTGACCTCACTAGTAGTTATTGGCCTTTCATTCTGACTCATGTCCTCTTGTTGTTGTTGTTTGCTTCTCGACATGTTCGACGTGGAATTTACCTCCATCACTTTCATCAATGTATCAATGTCAATGTATTTAGGCCATTTTCTTTTAATATGTACACACAAAAAAGCATGCTTGCAGTCCTGACTCTTCACCAGTAGCAAATTAACTATTACAAATACGGTTGTAGCTCATTCGTTGCTTTTACTTAAGAGAATGAAATGCCTGAGTTACTATAGAGTAAGATATAAATTCACCATGAGATATTGCCCCAAATTCACCCATCAACTTTTGACATGTACCTCAACAACACTCAGTCATGATTGGACATCTTAATGAAAGATTATCCAATAAAATTCATCCCCACAAAACCCATCCCGACCGTTGGTTGTCCTCGGCTGTGACACCATTATTTCTTGCATGTCCCAGCACGTTAAACTATGATGTTACTCCATCACTTAACCCATATCCAATGTGTCATATTCAAAAACCATATGCGGCTGTATTTTGTCTCTTTGTCTCTATACACACCTCGTTCTCATGCAGTGTATTATAGCTCTGAGTGGCACAGGAACCCGTGCTTCTCATTTGAGTTCATCTGTGCATTTTGGTTTTCTGTTCTCCTCTTTTAATGTGATTTGCATAACTTTGTTTTGTTTTTCAGTGATTGTGTTGAGGATAGCCATGGTCCCTGACTGTCTTGCTTATTGGACACTGTAGGTTTCTTAAATAACTCATAAATTACACAGAATATATGACAACATATTTTATAGTTATGGCTTGATTATAAAACACACCTACATACATACTGAGATACAACTGATCTTTAATATAAACGTGTAACCACTACTTATACAATCTGTATAAATGTGTGTTTGCCAACAAGAAGCAGCTATTTTGTCCATCATTTAAAAATGACTAAAAGCAACCACAAAAGTCAAGGGACGTGTGCCCACCTTTTATTTGTTTATTTGTTTTTCTTTTGTTTGATATGTGAATGGTGTGCTCATTTCGCTCATGCAGCCCACTGGTCAGACCTTCCGGTGCCGAAGCCTACTCTGCTCTCGATGGCCTTTTTATACGCCGAGCACGCAATCATATCCACTCGCACATAAATTCACGGACACAGCAACACTCAGATGAAGACGCCACGCCGCGGACACGTCACAGTGCCTGTCAAAAACAGCAGCGTTGGCTGAAGCAGGTCATGAGTCTGGTTGGAAGGCTGCGTCTCATGTAGTGATGCTAACATTCTCTCCCATTGCTCTCTCTGCTCACCTTGCATGCTCCGCCCTGCTGCTCTGATCTGATTGGTCTAGAAGTGACTGTGCGCCCAGGAGGGCAGGACGACTTTGTAAGTGCGCATGGAGCTCATCTCATCTCCGTCGGCTCCCTGTAGTCTGGTCATTTTTCCAGCCGCTCGCGCCGCCTTTTGTGTTCTTTACACTCAGTCCATTTAGTCCACATCACATCAGTTTCTGCACATCAAAACACATCCAGGAGGGGGGAAATATGTGGCGCACCTGTGCAAAAGACACTCACTGACATGCATGAATAAAACACGCATCTTTGCAGCACCCCTTATCACAATAGGCCTCTTCGTGCTCCTCCCCCTGCTTGCACCCAGCCAGACAAAATCCTAATCTGATCCACACCTCTTTTCCTGTTCCTTCATTAGATCAATAGTATGCTAATCAGACAAAAGTTGTCAAATGTTATAATGTTTTAAGAGGGTCAAGTGTGGAATGAAGACATGTTGTGATTTACTTTTGTGGAAGAAACTGCTTCCACAAGTTTTTTTTGCAACATAATAGTTCAGATGTTTGATAATCACCGGTACTCGCAGATTGGGTTTGTTGGTCACTGAGATACAGCTGGGCTTTCGGAAAAAGATGATGCTCTTTGTAATTCCATGTGGCCTTTTAACAGATGTGATTAATGTCACCTGTTGTCTTTATACACTATGTCTCCTCAAAGTCCTGAAAAAGAGAATGAACTATGTGCGCAATTGTCAGCTGCCTACTGCGTTCAGAGCTGTGTGTCTGTGTGTTGTACGGATTTTTTGCGGTGTGAAAATGAATCCAGAGCTTGGTTACTGCAGTTTCAACAATCCTTTTTGATGTTTTAATCCAGCTCTGATCTTTTTGCTGTTTGGGGTTTGCACTAATCAGTTCAGAAAAGCATATTGAATTCCATAACAGGAAGCAGATTTTGAATGAATTTATTTGAGGAAAATACTTAGTCAGTAATGTTCAGATGGAATTAAAATGTGTGAAAATATTGAGCTATTTTTCGCAAAATACTGCGATATAATTCTTTGAATAGTTGTCCTATGTTCTGTATGCATGATTGAGTAGTACATACATTTTTCACTATAAATCATCTCAGATACTCCAGGCAATGAGTGCAGCTTGCTGATTTGATGTTGCTGTGTTGTGAGACTAGTTTGGTCTGTCTTAACAGTAATAACCTTCAAGCTTTAAACTTACCTAAACTTTAGAATAACTCAACACATATAACCCTTAGCTTGCTCCCTTTTTCCTTTTCATTTCTATTACTTTGTTCACCTTCCTTTCCTCTGCTAACATTCTGAAAGTGTCTCTCTCTGTATCCACCAGACTTTTCAGCAGCTTAGGCGAGCTCCACACCATCTCTCAGAGGAGTTATGGCACCACATTCACCATCCGCCCTGGCAGCCGTCACACCGTCACCCGACGAACCCCGAGCCCAGGGTCAGGCTCCCCTGATCGCTGCGACCCCTTTGGACGATTCTCAGGCTTCGGCCTACCGAACTCCCCGACCACACCGCCACAAACCATCCTCAAGTCGTCGAGCCTCAGCCTGCCGCAGGAGCCTAAGGAGGTGCGCTTCGTGATGAGGAGTTCCAGCACGCGTTCCCGTTCCCCCTCCCCGTCACCCTCTCATTTCCCCGGACTGGGCTCGCCACTTTTAGCCCTCAGGCCCTTCCATCAGAAGCCACTCCACCTCTGGAATAAGTACGACGTCGGAGACTGGCTGGAGAGCATAAATCTGGGGGAGCACAGGGCGGGCTTTCAGGAACATGAGATCGAAGGTTCTCACCTCCCGGCTTTAACCAAGGAGGACTTTGCAGAGCTCGGAGTCATGCGAGTCGGACATCGCATGAACATTGAGCGAGCGCTGAAAATGCTGCTGGAGAGCTGACCCCTGCCCTGAGAGCCAGCAACAGATGCAACGAAGGATCAGGATGGAGCAGGCAAGGGATGAGGAAAGGGAAAAGATAGTGGGAGCGCTCCTCTTTCACTCTGGCTGCTTTTATGTTCTGCATCACAAATGTTTACCTGTGTGCATTCGGGACCCTTCAAGTTACATTACATTACAGGTCATTTAGCAGACGCTTTTATCCAAAGCGACTTACATTACACTTTAAACCCACGGCTTTTTCACATTTTTGCCTGGGGAGCAATTAGGGGTTAGGTGTCTTGCTCAAGGACACTTCAACATGGAACATGGGGCAGCCTGGAATCGAACCACCAACCTTCTGCTTCCCAGCACACCTTCTCTAACCCCTGTGCCATGACGACCCACAAGTTCCTGCTGTGCATCAATACCCTGCACCTGGCACTGCACTGAAGAGGGGGAGGCAACATATTCGTACTCCTTCACCTGGCTCTTAAGTGTCTGCCCAAATCCTTGCCCGCAGCCAATCAGATCGAACCTCAAAATGGGCGCTGGTCGTTCTTTTGCCGAGAAGAATCACATGAGCTCCAATTAAAATATTTGATTTGTTGTTTCCCTAGTAAAACCCACACGCTCTCGCTCACTGTTTGTTCCTCTCCTCTCTATTTCTATCCCTCCATCATTTAGGCATTTGACAGCCTTTTAGCAGTCTGAGTAAAGGAGGAGAAAGATTTTTTTTTCTTCCAAACAGAGAGCTCAGTTGCCTTTCAAAATATTTATACAGAGATCAGCGATGATGAAAAAATAGTACTATTGACACAGCTCTGAAAATGTGTGTCTTGAACTGCTGTTGTTTTTAAACCTAAGACTTTCGAGCCCAAAAAGCTCCACCAAGTAAACCGAGGGAGAAAACCTCTCCGCCTTGGTACCTAGACTGTGCTATCTATTATATTTGGAGAATGTTTAGCCAACACTTGTGGCTTTTTTCATAATCAATTTTTGGGTTTTCCAAAGGGAATATTATATATAGGTACTATATGATATGATATAAATGTATCTAAATATAGCTTTCAAAAGAAAAAATAGTGTTGCAAATAGGAATTGTAATAAATTAATCTGTGCCTGTTTTTGGTTTTTAGTATAGAAGGCAGAGAGAAATCTTTAAATTTATTCCACCAATAGTTTATTAATTTCTAACAATTATATACATATATATAAATATATATATATTTGAAATTTTAAAAAAAGTATATAGAAATAGATAAAGTATGGAAATGTTTTTTTTGTCATAAGTGTACAACTGTCCTTATGGTCACCCTTTCTTGAACCGTAGCATGACAAGTTGCATCATATCTTGGAGTTTGATATTTGTTTTTTTATTTTATTATGGTCTTCCTTCATACAGAAGGGCATCCCATAATGTGAGGCTGAGAACCCAGTTGACACCCATCCCCCTTTGTAGTTCTGACCCAGCTTGGTCCACAACAAGGACCACCTGAACAACACAGCTAACTGGAATATGGAATCATGGAACACAGCAGAAATCGTTCACATTCGTTTTTGCTGGGTAAGGGAACCAGTACCAGAAAATATGTGGACCCAAATTAAGTTTAAATAGTTAAAGTAAAGAAAATGTTATTATCCTTAAAACCTGGTTCTACCTGGAGAATGAGTGAGAAGGCTTAACCGAGCTAAACGTGAAGTCTGTTCCCTTTTAAAAGCCGTGCTGTACGTATCAGGCCGGGGGGACGGGAAGGTCTCTGTAAGCTCTTAAAGAAAATTCAATTTTTAACAACCTGGCAGTGTCTTGCTACGTCGCTACCACCCTCTATCTCTACAATTTACTTAGTGATTAATATATTATCATAAATGGTGCCAGCAAGAACTCTGAACAAAAAAATAAGAATCAGGTTGTAGAAAGAAAAACTGAATTTTCATTTAACAATAAAAATCCACAATTGTACATCAGAGAAGCTTCTGCTGGCAGTGAGAAACAGTGAGTTTTGTTCTGGCAACAAGAAGCATTTTATCCATAGCTTTTCTCTAACAGAGTAATGTTAGCAATCTGTTACCACTAAAACCTCCGTACACCTGCAGCATCCGGTCAGCACACCGGGGCAGTTTCACTCTGCAAGAAGCTGCGCGCTTCTTCTTCTTCTCTCTTTCTTTTACGCCAGCAGTTTGTAAAAACAGGTGGTGGATTTAACGCCGTGTCAGGGTTGTAGGAATTGCACTCACTGCCTCACTGTGACCTCACTGATTATTTTACATCTGACTACAGTGTGTTACGGTACGTCATCAGACTCATTCAGGCTTTTTGTGTTTGTTTGTCCTTTTTCTTCCCTTCTGGTTTGTTAGCCTCGGACACTGTGGGTGGATTTTGTAGCGTGTGGAACATGGTACAATGACACATGATCCTTCACTCATTTGAATTTATAGCGACAGAAAAAAAGAACATACTGTCCATTCTAAACATACTTATACTTGTAAAAATGAACAAACTGCAAGAAAAAAAAAATCTTTTTTTTAATCACAAGCAATGTAAATATGACAGATTTCATATAAATTTTTGAGAAACAAAAAGTATATAGATCTATATATGAATGTTTGGCATATATGCATAGTTAACAACATGTGGGAAAGGTGAGCAGATTTTATTCTTTCTATGAACTCTTGAACTTTGAACTCTGAACTAGGGGAAGATTTGCACAAAACAAGGTGACAAGGTGCTAACATAAAAGCCACCCATCGTCCAATCGCATGCGTGCATCTGGAATCTCAAAATCTGTCTGTGTGTGTGTGTGTGTGTGTGTGTGTGTGTGTGTGTGTGTGTGTGTGTGTGTGTGTGTGTGTGTGTGTGTGTGTGTGTGTGTGTGTGTGTTTGCAAACGCTTGTTTGTTACCATGTTTTGTGTGTATTAGATTGAGAGGGAGAGAACATGGGGGATGCAGGCGACAGTGGGAGAGTTTTTTGGTTGATGGTTGGGGTTTACATCTTTGGAGCTAGTCCACTAAAGCCTTACTGTATTTCCACCAGAGATTGTGTCACACAAACACGCACACACAAACAGATAAATCAGCACATTCATTCGTTAATATATATATATATATATATATATATATATATATATATATATATATATATATATATATATATATATATATATATATATATATATATATATATATATTTACCATCATTACCCTAAATTCTTGTTTTGTACCTGAATACTTTAGAAAAGTGGACTGCTCTGCCCTGAGGGAGAGACGGACAGACAGACATACAGAAAGATCACCATAGAGTTCTGAACAAAACCTTTGTATCTGTCTAGGTACACCCATCACCAGATGCCATCTCCACTGGCAGCACTCCTTTTTCCTTTTTCAGACCTTCAGTTTCTGAGTGTGAGGAACAAACAACACAAAGTAAAACGTGCCAAAAAATGACTCAACTTTTAACTGTATATTTGTGTTTGCTTTAGGACTTATTCCTTAATCTTATTTACAGCATTCTTGTGCTGTTAAGACTCAATAATATGGTGCCATCTCCTGGAAATCTTGAGAACTACAGACATTTGTTTGATCCTTCCGTATTTCCTGCAGGTGGAAATACAGTCACTGTTATTATTTTGTAAAGAAGCAGGATATTGTTTATATACAAACATAGTATGTGTGTGTTTATGTACACACACACACATATATATATATATATATAATGTGTGTACATATACGCACATATTTAAAAAAAAGCCTGTGTATATTTACATTTCTATTTGCATTTTGAGACAAAGTATCACAATTGCTTGATTTTACTGCGATAGTTATTTTCCAGCTTGGTTTATGGTTCCCATGTAAACACGATCACACTGAAGTGGACCTGTACAGTCTGGCCTGGTAGTAGGGAATACCTGGTTGGATGGCTGTGTAAGTTTACCAAGAAAAATAAAAAATAAAAAATGCAATGGATTTACACAACATTAGGTCAATTAAGTTCCTTCAAGGGTTATCTTTGTCTTATTTTGTAATCAACAAAGCACAATCTAAATAGCGTGGGGTTGCAGTGTAACCTTTTCAAAAAACCCACTGGGGTCCGACTACTCACTGGAACCCGTGATCGTATCATCAAAGTTTTTTTCATTGTTGGTTTTCTCCTTGTTTGCACTGTGAAGTTTAGACTGGTGGAGGTATCTCTGCAACGCCTCAGCCTCGTCTAACAAGTGAACCAGCCCTTCCCCCAGCACCCGATGGCCAGGTGACTCCAGGGCGCTCATAGCATTAGATGTCCCGCTCCGTTTCAGTATGTGAAAGCACTGGTCAAAATAAAGCTAACCAGATGCTACCTAGTATTCCTCACGCAAACAGGGCGAGGGTGATAGTTACGGTTGAGGCAAGATCTGAGATGTTGCCCAGGATATCTCCACCACAGAGATATATGTTTGTTATATTATGTAATAAATGTATTATTAAAACATAAACTGCATCAAAGTATTGTTCCTGGTAATTCACAGTGCATAAACCGATAATCCAGTGGTTATTTTGAGGCCATGTCACATCAAATGCTACTATATATACATGCATATGCATATTGACTTAAAGTTCAAATTGAACATCACCTTCAGCCATAAAACTGGTTTAATATAACTTAACATGCGACATTCTTGCCAAAATGAACGAACATACACACAGCTTTCTAAAAAGCATCATGTAGGACACGACTGGCTGAGCATTTCACAAGGCTAAAACATTACAGCGGAGGTCTACCCACGTATGTATGCTATAATACGCTGAAGTTGACTATTTACTGCTCCTGTGCCTACTTCTGCACACAGCAAGTCAGAAAGAGACATTTGATAACAATTTGGTTACATGGTACATTATCTTTTCATTTAAAAGGTTGCTGAAAAATAGACTCAATTCTAAAATGAATACAACAAATGTAGCCACTAGTCCCGCTGGCATTGCACACAACTAACAAACATCGAGAACAGCAGCAAACACGGTTTATAATGACACAATCTCTTTGATCTGCTTGAGTTAGTCTTCAATGCTTCACCTTCTTATCACAAAATAAAACACATTCAGCCTCATGGTAGGATTTTCTACTATAGCTGATATTGCAAGTATGAATGACATCTCTAAAATAGTATAGAAACTTAAACAACACAATTCCTATTTATTCCACCAGGTTTTCTCTGAGTCATTGGACAGAAGGAGGGCAGCGACTTTGAAAAGTGGGTTTGAAAAGGTGTGTAAACATCCGTCAGACCGCCTCGGGGTGCTCGGCCTGCAATCTGTCCTCATCTGCTTCAGGATGATCTTCTTTCTTCTCCAAGTCAAAGTTCTATTACATAAGTCCAACAAATTACATTAATACAAACATGTTTCAGACAAATACTTACACGACACAAAAAATACGCGCATGCAGTTTCCACATGAAAAATGTAAATGAATTACAGTTCATTAATATTTTTTTTTATTAAGAAAGCTTAAAAGTACGTCAGTGATAAAAGTGTGTTTGGGTATTCAGAGAGGTATACCTCCAATTCTTGCATTACTTCATCCATGAAATCGCTGGGGTTTTGCTTGTAGTCCACTGCTCTCTTGATCATCTCTCTGAACATCTGTTGGGACGGTTACAGTGAGAACTATAAACATTTAGGGACAGCTATATTGGCCTGGACAATTAATCAGTTTTTTTAATTATAAGGAGAGTTTATATGATTCTTTGGTGTATAAATGGGGCAAAAGCAGTCAATCTTGTTGCAATCTCATACAGGAAGTCCAGTCAACTGTAGAACTACAAATGAATTTGAAATGCTTGAGGATTCATGCCATTAATACTGCAGGAAAATAAAGTCCACACCTTAACAACATTAGTCCCATCGGCCGCTGACACAAAGTAAAATGGGATTCCTTGCTTCTTCCCAAAGTTAATGCTTCTCTGTGTGACCTTCAAATCAGCTACAATCATGAAAAACAAAATGTGTTCAGGTCTAAAATTCTACTGTAAATGTAGTTGGTCAGATAATTTAAATCAAAAACACGGAACAATGTTTACAATAAAATCCATTAAAAAAGTTACATATCCTGAAGGAATATTAACATTTCATTTAATCAAAAGAGACAATCAAAGACAACTTGTTCAGTGTCGCAGCCGAACTCACCGTCAATTTTGTTAGCAACCACGCAACAGGGAATCTCCGGTCTGAACTCTCTTAGCTCCGTATACCAGCAGGCCAGATTCTTATACGTTACCTTCCTTTGAACATCAAAAACCTAGCAGAAGGTTGAAAGGCTTACTAGTGGGTTTAGCTTTATTTAGTGACAGTGTGGTACCTTCCCAGTTCAACCAGTGCGCTCCAGCAGTCATCTATCAAGTCCTTGAAAACATCTCCGTGAGAGACTCGCCATCTGCATCTCAAAACCACAAATCATATGTTTTGTAAACCCTTCAAGGCCAGATGAGCGTGTACTAAACCTCCTCAGGTTTAGAATTCACTTGAGAGGTGGAACGTAACAAGAATGTATCACAATCTGAACAGTTGTTCATGTAATCCATGTGGAGAGAAAAAAAAGTGTATTCCATACTTTTCTAAATCAAATTTAGTTTCCTTCTACCTCCTGTGAGGTTGTGATGCAGCGCATTTTTAGGCTAGATGATTACTGAAACGGACCTTGAAGCCAAGCGTGTGCTTTATCATGATGCACGCGTGTGCTTTGTGGTAGTAAGAGGGATACATGCTCCGAAATCTCTCCTGACCAGCCGTGTCCCAGAAATCTGTGAATTAGAAATAAAAAACACCCCTGTTGATACAATCAAATTCATCTCCCCCGCGTTTGCCGAGAGAAGAACCAAAGAAAGGCAAAATACACACCGACTTCTACGGTCTTGTTTCCTACAGTGGCTTTGTGTTTGTGGAGGGTCAACGCGTAGGTTGACATTTGCTGGGGACGACTGCAGAAAGGGTTAGGGATCATAACCTCCTTGTGCTGTTAGAGGCACAACATCTTGATCTTAAACAGCGGCCTTGTGTGCCGACAGTGGCTGTGATTAACTTGGCAGGACGTTAAAACAGAAAAATGTCCTTTATTGAATTCGTCAAATGGATACTATTCGTTCATGAGAAACCTCTCCATCAGCCTACGAGAGAGAGAGACACAATAACCAGGAAAAGACAACATATTAAATGAATAGGGGAGGTTACTAATACTGTATTACAAATACAGAATACTCACTTAGATTTACCAACTGCGCTGTCTCCCAGACAGATGATCTTCACCTGTTCGTCCGAATCGTCTTTCCTTCCCAGTTCAGGGATGCTGCCAACGTCGTCAGCCATTTTTACGTTATTCTCTTTTTAAACTAGTTTTCCCTTTGACTGGGGCGATAATGAAAGCCAGATCCAAGATAAAGAGCGCTAGCATCCCTTTGACTACGGAAATGTGCGATAGCTAACGTTAGCTTTCCATCGGTTAGCTGAGGTTAACATCGTGTGGTTCGGTTCGAGATCGCCAATTTCATCGGCTCGACTGTCCTCAAAACATCGACAACACTGGTGCTGTATGTATCTCAGAATGGCACAGATGAGGCAATTGATTATTTTACTTTTTAAAGTATCTGACGTGAATGCTTACTGTTACCGTTCTTCACCTCCAGCGGCTGCTAATTACCAATCGGCTAACGTCGCAAGCTGTAGTAGCGTTAACACTTACACGATGTTGTTTAACAAAAGCTACCTATCCACACGCTGGAGTCTGTTTAAGCACGAGTCACGTTTGTCTATCGCAAGCAGAGCGCTGTAGATCCTCTTCAAGGCAACACCGATATTAAAAGCCTGCCCGCTTCGTAAAGCGTTTGCGTGTTTTCGTTTCTATGCAACGGGGACGCCCGATGGACCCCTGCGTCATGCTTTCTGCTGTCCTCACAGGCGCCTGTCGAGAATGCTGTCACAACGCACGCACAACCACTCATTTCTGAGAGAAATTGTAAGAAAGGGTTAGATCTCAATTGTTTTAATTAATAACAGCCAGATGTGTCGTTGTGATTGTGAAAAATGCAAGCAAGCAAAAAAACAAGAATAAAAACAAAAAATAAGATAAGATAGGACTAAGAAGTAGTTGTGAACTGCAGTAATTAAAGTCACTAACTGAGAGTGTTAACGTCAAATAAACAATCAAAATAATCACTGATAATGTTCATAACCCTGAAAAAGTGGCAGGCACTAATACAATGGGGCCTTCAAACTAAATCTGATATCATCAAGCCTACACGGTTTTATTTTGCTCTTTATTGTGCTTTATTGTGCTTTAACTGGGTCGTCGTGAAGCAGGGGTAGAGAGGATGCGCTGAGAACCACAAGGTTGGTGGTTCGAGTCCTGGCTGCCCCATGTCCCATGTCGAAGTGTCCCTGAGCAAGACACCTAACCCCTGATAGCGTGATGGTACAGTTATTTACACACTGAGTTAGACATGAAACAAAATGTATTAGCCCACAGTAAACGTTGCCTGAGCGGTCTTGTGGTTGTGGCATGGAGACAATTTTCCAAATAGCACACACTACTGTGCTGTTTTGTTGCCAAAATACAAGTTCTGTAAAAGAAAGTGTGCAAAAACAACACAAACACAATTGTTTTGTATAAAAGTGTTTATTCAACATCTAGTGTGTACTCTCTTGTATATGTTTTGTAAAGGGAAGAAATAATTGGACCCTATCAGTAAGATTTGGGCACTGGGTTTTCAGAAGCCAAATCCTGCCACGGCCTAAACTAAATACTACAGCCTAATGTGCCTTCCTATCATAGCAGACATTCAACCAGTGCTTCTGTGCTTACTAATAACACTAACCATGGCTGCCTTCTCTTCAAGCGTCCCAGCAAGCTATAAAAATGTGACAGTGAGCATGCACAATTCCAGGACCTTTAGTTTGAAGAAGCTGAACATGTAATTAAAAATAAATAAATAAATAAAAACTGAATTTGCCCACATTCAGGTGCAAAAGAAGAAATACTTTTTGGACAAGATGTCTTAAAGATATAGACTCTTCAAAGGGCAGAATTAGTGCTGCAGGCCCTCCTGAGGTAGGTGGAGTTGTGGAAGGTTTCTCTCAAACTCATCTTCAGGACCTTCATCAAAGCTACAATGCTTCCCACCTCCTCCTGGGGGTGCTGTTGGTTAGAAGAAAAGGAGATAACAAATGCACATTCACATAAAATCATTATTTATAATGGAGCTAAACACATGCACACACGTACACAAACACACACCTACCTTAATTCCACATTATTCTTACCCTTGTAAGTGCTCGCGCCAGTCTTTGCAGCACAGCGTCCTCTCTGTGTGGACATAAGCTGGTCACTGTGCTCACACAGCTCAGTAGACAGTAGATGGTGTGTCTCTGTGGCTGTAATGTTGACAATAACTTGTTTTTAATTTTTGCAAAAGAGGTTTAAAAATATACAAGTCAAATGACTATTCATTACATACCTTATTGAGCCCACTGAGAGACTTCCTGATGTTTGCTCCACAGCTCAACCGTGTTACATCTTCTGCACTCAGAACAGGTTCCTGGATGAGGGTTAGGGTTAGGGGTGCAGAGGAATCAGAGACAGGACAAAGAGAAACATGTTAGCGAGAGTGAGGGAAGCACCATCTAATTGAAAAAACTCAGCACTAACCCTCAACTTTTCCAGCCACGTCCATAACAAACAACTGAGAACCTGAGGATCTGATTCTGTGACGAGCAGAGCCCAGCCACAGTCGCTGCTGTTCAGTTCCTCCTGTTTTAATGAGGTGGACAGCATTAAGTTTGTTGCTTCAGAGGTCAAAATCAAAATGTTTTAATGTGAAATGAGGAGTTTTTCACCTGCAGCAGATCCGATCTTTGCAGTATGGTTTCTCCTCGAAGACCGTGGTCTGCCATCGCCTTTGCAACAGCACGGGCGACAGAGGTTGAGCCAAGATAATGTGGATTTCGGCAAAACTTTGTATGACATGGAGGGAAAATGTTTTAAAGCATTCATATCAAAGCTTCATTCGATTCTTTATTAAGAATAACACCTACCTCACTGTTAAAGCTGTACTTGGGAAGTGGCATGTTCACTTGGTGTCTAGACCTCTTAGCACAGTTGTTCTTTGTCATAAAAGATCTTGGGATTTTGAGTGTATGAGAGGCCTTATTGCTGGTCTGATGGCCTTGTGAAAGTGTTGCAAGCAATGGACTAACAGGTCTCATATCAAGGCGTATCAGATTCTGTACAGACCACTGTCTCTTATTCACAAGTTCCGGGGTGCAGTTTGGACTCAACTCCAGATCCTTCAGGACAAAATGCAACAAAGAGAGAAAAGCCTCAGTGACCAGTTGGATTTTACATCGGACATTCAGCAACGTAATCATAGACAAATAATATGAAATTGGACCTCAATTGCTGCAATCCTGCTGAGGTCAGTTTCGCTGTAGCTGCGTCTGTCCAACAGCACCTCTCTCTTCCTCTCCAAGAATCCCATTGGCTCGTCCCAGGAGGACACCGACCCCGAGCTCACCCACGCTCCCCTGTGACCCTCCCTCAGTAAGGGCAAGTACGGTTTGCACACGAGTGTCTCCCTAACAGTCCTGTTCAAGGTCCTCAGTACTGACCTCTTCTCCAGCTCAGTCTGGATCTCTGGAGGAGCAGGGAGACCCAGGGCTAAGCAGGACAGATGCACACACAGGAGGTACACCACCTACTGGGAGCACAGAAACCAGGAGGAGGTTAACTGTTCTCCGGTGCGACCAGGTACTGTACGTCCACAACAAAGGATTTGTGTGTCAAATGGTTCGGACCTTGGGTGTGTGTCTGAGGGTGCGTGCCTCCTGGCCATGCAGCATTATTGCCTGCCGGTTGAGGTAGTGCTGCAGGGTGAACGGGGCTCCGTGCCGCATGCTGAGTTCTGGGTACTGGACCAGCTGCCTGCCAAGTAGGCGGGCAAAGTCAGACACCTGGCTGAGCTGCGCCCGGGTTTGGATAGAGCGAGGCCTTTTAATCCTGACATAGTGGACGGCCTCACTCGGGCTGATGCGCAGGGTGTAAATCAGGTAACAGGCTATCAGGACACCTGTTTATCGGGAAGAACGCACTTTGTGTACATTAGTGCATCACATGGGCGCTGACACACAGTGTTTATATGAACAGCAGATACACTATTTGTATTCCTACCTGTCCTGCCCAGGCCTGCATGGCAGTGTACAGCAACCCTTCCTTCCCTCACTGCAAAGGCCAACACCTTCACCCCATCGATCATACTGACGAGGGAGGACACACCAAAATCTTGCATCCCAAAGTTGTAGAAGTAAACTGCAAATGTACCAATATGTGAACGTGTGAGTACATACAGGATGATAATGGACATTCAAAGGGACATAAAGGGTCATAAATGTGATCATTTTGAAATACATTCCAGTATCAAGATCTTACTGTCGTTGTCCATGAAGATCTGTGGAGAGTAGGTGAAACCACTGCCAGGGTCTAGAGGAGGTCCACAGTGTGCATGCTCTCCAGGGAGCTGCATGTTGATGATTGATCGGATGTTCAACCTGGGAACGAGTGATAGATTATGAAGACAATAGTCAACACTAGCGACTTATAGGTCTCCAATAAAAAGGGTGTAATTGACAATCAATGTCAGATGTCTTATCCCCATTTAAATTAAAAAAAAAAAAAACAACGTTTCTTATCTAGATCCATTTGCCTACTACTAATTACCTGTATATGCACACAGGTTTGTACAATGCTAATGTTAACGCCTTTTAGGCTCCTAATTCCTACAATTCCAGCATGCATATCCACCAGCTTCACAGGCACACAGGAGAACAACACAAACATTGCAGCAGTAATACTGATCACCTTTGAAATTGTTCAATGATGTTGTACTTCTCAATTAGATGACTGGCTGGTCGGGCCATGGCAATAATGTCATCCGTCACCCTGCAATAGGAAGAAGTTCCTAATTAGAATTAGTCCTTACAATTTTGGATGGTGGGACACAACAAAAAGCTTCAGTTTCACCAGGAGGAGAAAAGGCCTCGGACAGCCTGTTGATTTAATTTCCAACACTCTGGTCCTTCATAGCGGCAGTCTGCTCCTCCACAGGCCAGCAGACAGAGGAGCTTGGGTGGGATAGCCTTCACAAAGTTCTCCCTGGCCTGGGAGTAGGAAGGCTGTGGCACTGGTATCAGGGCCGGCATCATCCTGGAACCGAAGGAAAACCCAGAGATCCGATTCAGCTATCACATGTTAGATGTGAAGGACTACGACCAAACAGAACGGGGGCTAAAACAAATAACGTTTGCTGTAGGTGTTGACAGGATACAAAAAGAAAACAGCAACATGTATTCCAGGTTGTCTCTGCAGTGGTCCTGTCGTACACCTAATCGCAATATTTGAATAATTTCTGTCATGAGAAAGGTTTTCCTGTGCTGATGTGCGGGTTTCGGGACAGACGTTGCCGCATGTGTACAGACTGTAAAGTCCTCTGAGGCTAATTTGTAATTTGCAATATTGTGCTATAAAAAATTTATTGAATTGAAATAATACTCCACAAATAAAATGAACTCAATAAAATTACAAAAACTTACCCTTTTGATTGTGTTCGACAATGAAGCTGTTAATCCCATTTAATGCATTGCCTGGGTTTACGAGTACATACATGTGCTCCCTTATGCTGACCCTGACTGCTAGTTGCAGATATATCACGCACAATGCGTTGCCCCAGCTCCACTAAGCCTGATTAGCTGTCATAAATACATTAGGAGAGACATTCCCACATTATGGCAAGCCAATTATATAATGCTTAGGCCTCCACCTGTAAACAACGTATGCAGGGTTTAACTACCAGGCACCAGCTAATGCATCCCACGTGATTTCACTTGGATTGTGATGCATAGAGTAAGGTTGGTCCCACCGCTGTCCAGCGCTCTCTACTTTCACCACTTACCACATTTTTAGATTGATTTGGACGTATTGTGGATGTATGGAATAATAACGTAAATACACAAATTAATATTTAGTAAATCAGATGCCTTTATTTCACGGAACAAGCAGGGGTCACAGAAATGCCTCTCATCCATACCATATTGCTTGTAGTGTGGTGTACTTTTACTGTCCAAAATTGTGGAAATAAACTCTACACTGATTGTACGTAAATCTCTGATTTTCTGCATGGGCCTTGCTTTCAATTTTGAACACTGAGATTTGTTTTCATCGAATCTCGAGTTACCTACCGCAACTGATAGTTATGTTTATTATCCACTTTCACTTTAATTTACAAGCACACAAAAACCAACATATTCTCACAACCATTTACTGATCTTAGCATGTTTGACATAAGATAACATGTTGGCATGTTTTCTGTGCAATTTATTTCTCAAGTCGAAGGCCTAAAGTCCTTTTACACGGATCAGGCACAGCTCTGATAACAGTTGAGCTTTTATAATTTGTGATCATGATACAAGACATCAAGTGACTTGATTTGATCTTCTGTGAATAAAGTAAGTAATAAAGGATATTTTAAACGAGTACTAGCTTCAAGTCCAGATAGAATGTCCTCATTAATAACTGGAGACCAAAATGTAAATTGGTTTTAACAGTCTTTATTAAGAGCTTTTTTGTAAAATGTTTTTTGGGAAACATTTTAAGAGTGACAGCTCCAGCATCTGCAAGCATAGGTTGGAATGTACACACAAAAAGAAATAGGGCAAGTATGTTTTTGTTTACAGTATTTGCCTTCAGACACTACAACAAACCAGAACAAACAAAAACGTGCTGCTTTATTGTGTCGGCCATGTGTCCACACAAACAAGGCGCTTCCTTCCTCCTTTTAGAGTGGAAAAGATTTTCTGTTAAGAGTGTCAGCAGAAATAAAAATCAAATCAAATCCTGATGTATCCATGGTGGCTGTAAAAATAAAAAGGTTAGAAATAAATGGTATGAAATCCTAGTTGATAGAAGCAATCTACATTTACACTAGTGCGGCTCTGCTGCATGTCAGCATACACTGCAGAAGAAAATGTGTTTTGTCATAATATTCAGTCACTTAAGCGCTAAAGTGCCTAAGAATGAGATGCAAAAAGGATTAGTCAGATTTGTGTTAAACGGGACCAGAAGGCACACAGATGGATTCCTCATCCATCTCACTCTACGGGCCACAAGCCTTTAAAGGACGTGAGTACGTACGAGATATAGCGGTAAAGAGCAAAGGATCAGTTATGTGCAGGAGTCAAATAAAGAGGAGTAAAGAGATGAAAAGCCGCAGGGAACCGACGGGTCGCCCCTCACCAAAGCTATAGTTGTATTATCAGATCCGCCAGCTCCGAGCTCAATGGCCAACAAAGTCATTCAAATTATACAAGTGGTCAATTACTGCAAATTCTGCCAAGACAGAAGCAGAGGTAACACGTGGAAAAAACACTTCCTTCACTCCAGCTATTGTTTCCATTCAATTTCCCTTTACGGCAATTCGCTCACCACGCAACTGAATGCATATTTAGAAAATTGTTGCCATGTAAGAGTTAGGGAACAAAAAAAGAGAAAACAAAAAACAGGACTATAACAAGATAATAAGGTAATATTTTTGATAAGAAAAAAAGATGTGGTATTAAAATTTCCCAAAGACAATCATACATTGTCCACCAGCCTAGTCCTTTTGGTCAACATTGGTTCCGGAAGAGCAAATGTTTCTGGATTGAATGTCTGTGCCTTCTCTGCGGTTCTGTGGAGTTGAGCCTCATCTCTCCGTTAGGCTGAGCCTTCTTTAGTTCTTGGTTAACTCTTTGGATAGCCATTCGAGTCCCTCATACAGCCCAGCACCCTGGGTGGCACAAGTAGACTGAATTTGCCACTGTGGGGTAAGAGATGACATGGATTAGAATAGAGAAAGATACGAATGGGACTCTTATCGTGAATCTTACTGCGGGCGTTCAGTCACATTGCTTACATTTTTGTGGCGGAGGGTCTGCAGGCCAAGTTTGTCTGTGAGTTCGTTCACTGTTAAGGCATTGGGAAGGTCCTGTTTGTTGGCAAACACCAGCAACACGGCATCTTTCAACTCATCCTCATTCAGCTGGAGGGACAGAAACAGATTTTAACATCAGCTCAAAGACTTCAGGAACCGATTGAAGAACGATCTACACTGAGAAATATCTCTTTCAGAATGTATCAATACGGTACAGTGTACCAATGCAAACCTTAGCTGCAGATGAAGACATTTTTTGAATGTAGGAGGCAATTTGCTTTGCTTGTGTAATTGGTGCTAGCTGGTTAACCTAGCATGCATGAAAAACCAAAATAATGCATTGCATCCTAAGATGCCCTTTATTTCAAATGTTCCCCATGAATAGAATAAGGCAAATTATATATATATAATGTATTGTTTTTTTTAAAGAACAGAAAAGGGCACATTGGACATATAATAATAATATATATATATATTTTTTTTTAGCTTCACTTTTGCAGCTGGAGATTTAAGAAGCAGTGAATTAAGAGTAATTTTTAAACTAAATAGTTGTCTCTACGTTGATGCTTATTCCTCACTGGGCTTCAGAACTTCATGGTCAAATCAAAAAAATGAGTGCAACATATGAAAAATTAAAATACGCCCTACATTGTTATATAAAGTGTGAAAGTGATGACGTGGCATTTTGCTTAGTGTATACCGAATTCTTTTCATTGACAATATTTTGGTGACTCATTGAGGAGTTAACCACACCTATGTGTCTAATGGCTTCAAAAGCCATGGGCTATTGATGCAACACACACACAAACAGATCCTACAAATTTTGGATTCACAAAGGGCTGGACAAAATGTTTTTTCCATTAAAAGGGAAAAACAAGCCAAAATAAAAACAACGCAACAAGAATCTCTCAATTTTCATCACCTTTCCACCTTGTCATCCCAATCTCCCAATGTTTAATCTAAACAAAATAGCTGACAAAATTAACAGAAAGGGCATTTTGACTAGTACTCAAATTTGATTAGGATAAACTGACTTCATTGAATAAACTACAAAGGATAAAAATGACTCAACTAGACTAAAACTAATAAATGGGTTGTTTAAAAAAAAAGAAAAAAAGACAAGCTTCCGTGCTGAGCATGTAAATACCTAACTTACCATCTTCGTGAGCTCCTCTGCAGATTCTGCCACTCTTTCTCTGTCATTGCTATCCACCACGAAGATGAGGCCCTAGGTTAGACCACAAAAAGCGATTAATTTCCCTTTTCTTAACCTTTTCTCAAGGTTGTCCCGCGCTACCGGGGCAGTCACATCCATACCTGTGTGTTCTGGAAGTAATGTCTCCAGAGAGGTCGGATCTTGTCCTGGCCACCCACATCCCACACAGTGAAGCTGATGTTTTTATATTCTACTGTCTCCACATTGAAACCTTTACATGGGGAAAGAGAAGCAACAGGTTATTGCACCCAAAGTTCAATCAGTAAACATTTTTGAATTACACACACAAAAAAAAAAACGGATAAATGAAATGAACTTAAGAACTTTCAGTGTGTCTCTTACCAATGGTTGGAATGGTGGTCACAATTTCACCAAGCTTCAATTTGTACAAGATAGTTGTTTTTCCGGCAGCATCGAGCCCAACTGCGGGAGAAAAGTGTAAACATTTGATCAACTCGTACAGCAAAATACAGAGATAGGTTTAATCGCGGCCTCCCTAACTATCCAGATACAGCACATAAAATGAACACACGATGATACACGACGACATCCGTAAAACGTCATCACGAGTTGGTCAACGTTGGAGTTACCCAATAAAGGGTTATAGAAGTAGGGAAGCGAAAACACGTGAAAAGTTACCGTCTAACAAATTAGGTTAACTAATATGAGATTTCTCTATACAACGTTAGCTGATTACCAATGAACAACCATTATAACAAGTATAGTGGTGGGATACTGGAAGTGAGGAAAGACACACTTGGAAATTTCGGCCTAACAGTATTTTATTAAAACGCTATTAAATTATATAAAAACAATTATATTTAAGCCATTTTCCTGGAAAGAAATTGTCCTCTGCTGATCCGGCTGCCAAACTTCTTTCTAAGCAACCGAAATGGGGCTAACGTGATATGCTAGCATAGCGCTGGTTGGGAAGGCTAACGTCATCTTTTATAACGTTATACATACAACTGCAATTAATCATATGGTCCTTGGTTTTTCTTTCATTCCGCGTATGCCTCAATGTTGTACTTTTCAAGTGTGTAAACGCACTGCCAATGAAAGCACATCAAGAACTAATTTAGCTAACGCTAGCCGGCTAGCTAGCTAGCTAGCAGCTACCGTTACTCACCGAGGTTAGCTAAAGTTAAAGCCAAAAAACCTGTCGCCAACACAGGCTTCACTCACCCATCAAAATCCTCATTTGTTTTTTGCCAAACATCCGCTCAAAGATCGACGAGATTGTTAGCCCCATATTCGCTCGATGATGTCTGAATATATTGTAAGAAAGAAGGACTGATATTAACCTCAGCAAAACTGACGTGTATTAGCTTTACGCTGATCCGGTTATAGGGCTCTGCCGAGTGCCACGTCCGGGCCAACGTGGAATCCACGACGTCATCAGTTTGAATCAACTTTATCAACACACACCGAAATCTGTAAACATCAACTTTTTTATGTGCATCGTGTAGTTTTTTACCAACAGATCCAATATGTGTTTGTATATAGTATACACACCATTACTGAGCAGTCCGCCGTTAACACAGAAGAAATTACTCGGAATTTCTTTCAGGCAAAATAATAGTTTTCTGTAAAAGTGCAGTGCTGTTTCATGCCGCTAGATGTCTCTGTATCACAAACCTGTATCTCTGTTTCTTGAGCTCTATGTTGTTAATACAAAACATTACAGATAAATTGTCATGACAGTTACACACGTTAGTCACAGCAGCTTATCAAATAAGGTTTATATACTAACTGCATCTATTATTTTGGCAGGAAATGGAAGCTTCCAACAACACGGGTCAAAGTAGTACGAGGGATATTTTTTTCATTGTTTAAATATATTGAAAGAGTAGTGATAAGAGAAGAAACATTCCCATTCCACCTCGGGACTTCTTTTTAAAAGCACAAGCTTAAAGCAGGTGGAGTCAAACAGCGACATGTGAGAGGAAGAAGCAATCGTATTGTCATAAAGGTTGGTTATGGAGACGGGTTATTTAGCGGTGCCCAAGAACCGTACAGAGGAATTTGAAAAGATTTTTTTTTTTTATTCACCATGGAGCTTAATGGTATACTGAGTGGGTATCAGGTAGGAACTTACACTTCATAGCCTATTTTTCAGCTTTCTTGAATGAATTGATACATGTCTGATAACAAAGTTTGAAATCTGTTTTTTAAATTTAGATTGATGTTCTTTCCACTGAGTACTTAGTGTTACTTACTCCCAGGTAAAATGTTTTTTCTATTTCAAATTCCAGATTATGGGATTTAAAATGAGTACAGCGAGGTTATCAGCAGAATACCGGTCTTATTATTTCAGTTTTCTGATACAAGGTTTGCTGTAAGTAAGTGTAATAAGTATTGAGCACGTCACAGGATGTTTGTAGCTGCTGAGAGTTTCTTTCAGTGAACTAATTCACTCTGCTGCTGCGTACTGCCATCTTTACGAGTGCCTCGTTTTCTTACTTTTGCTTGTGATAAAGAATAGCTGGTCTCACCACTAAATGCGGGGGGGGGAATGGTTAATAGATTTCTGGAGCCAAGAGAAGCGTTATGATGTATGAATCATCCTACAGCTTTTTATGCAGGTGTCACCTGAATCAGAGAAACGTCGTCTTTCAGGCTTCGGGCCCTATCTCGTCCTCCGACACTGACTAGTTAAATCTACCCACCTTCTTTTATACTTAGTGTTGACGTGGTGTGTCTTACTGTGGCTTCAAAACCTCGTACACAGTACCTCGTGAACGCAGCGCTGATAAAAATGAGCCCAAAGCTCTTTGCTGTTCAATAAAATTCCACATATTTCTGATTAACCGCAGTGTGATTGGGAGTTTTTCTGTCCTGGTGGTTTCCATGGTGAGATGGAGGCACTTAAAAGAGCAGGTGAGTCAGGTGGTTTGTAGTTCTGTATTTGTATTTATTTCTTTACCATTGTGTGGTTGATCAGTAGACTACATTCTATAGGTGTAAAGCTAAAGTTTGCTGATGTTTTGCTACAGATTTTAATTTTAATAGACTTTAATTATTTGTTTGCAGGTGAGAGCTCTCTCTGGCAGACCTCCTGGCTGCTCTGATTCTCATGTCCACCAGTGTCATGAATAAAGTTAGCATCGACAACATTGTAGCCGTCTGCCAATACAGCCTGCCGCTGTCACTGGTGAGAAACAGTTACTTTCACTTTGTCAGTCTTCTTACCCTGAATCATTTACGTGGTGGTTTCCTGGTGCGTGGAGGTTCATGTTTGAGGTTTAATGTATTACAACCAGACAGGGACATCAAGAGATTTAGGTACTTTCCAGCTGAAATATCTGTCTTTAGAGGTTAGATGACTATTACGTGTCGAATCGAATCCCCTGAGTTAGTGATGACTGTAACTGGAACCGAGCAGTAAAATATGTCAAAAGCATCTGTTCATTATATCACATCCATAAAAGAAAAGGGGTCGGCAGTTATGCTGCTTCCACTTTTTATTTCACAGTGCAAAGAGTTAAGGGCAAAGAAGATTTGCTTATACATTCAATTTTCTTTTTACAAAAGAATAGATTGTCGGAAGACAAACACTGGGGCTTTCATTCAAAAGGCAGATATGGAAAATATTTAGCCTTTCGAAGTCCAATATTTATTCAAAGCAAAATGTCAGGTTACATTTCTGGAAATGATGCAACCCCAAGCCTGAGAGGAATAATTGTATTGGTTGCGGTGATATTCTCAAAAACCTAATTTGGCCTTAAACCCCAATTTAACCTCTTCAAAAAAAATGAATGGAGTATAAATCATAGCTAATGACATTTAGGGTCACATTTTGCTTCAGTGTTTATTGTGCTGCAATGATTCGTTTTACTTAAGTTTTGTATATTTCTGTGTCCGTCCGTTCCGTTCCAGACATTTTACTTCATTTCATTTCTGCTGGTGGCGGTCTACGCATGGAAGTCGAGGATCCCAATCCAAGGATGGAGAGCCAGACCCACAAAGGATGAGGGGGTGCAAGTGAGGCTTCCACTGTGTTTGTAGGTTATGATTTGTACAAAAAGAGTTAGAAGCGATTCAATAACCGATCTGTTCGCTTTACAGATTCAATGTAGAAGGAAAATAGTGGCTTTACCTCTATATGGCATTGTTTGGTGAGTTTGCTACCAATATTGAAATACAGAAGCCGCATTTTTGGAGGCCATCTTGTTATACACAATTTAGATTTGCATCTCTGCTTTTCAATACAACAGGATGATCCCCATCGTAATGTACTTAGCATATGTGCTCACTCCCCTCATAAAATACACCTCACTGTTTCCGGTCAGCGGCAGTTTATCGATCGTCCGTAATGATACAAAATACTGCACCAGGTGAGCACACAACTTTCATTGGAACCTACTATTAAATCATCAGTTTCAAATATGCATCAGAGGAGAAAGAGGTGTAATCCAATTGATTTTTAAAGTTGTATCTGTTTCTTAGTTGTATCTTGTTCCTGCATGTCTGGAGGGATTCCTGCTCTGATGATGTAAGCATTGCACACTATTGACACTTTTTTTTAAAGTGTGCTTTAATTCTGTATTTATTCACTTTAATTTGCAGTGTTTTATTTCACAACCGTTGATTATTATTTAATGTTCATATATGTGATTAGCATTTTTGTTCACATTTTTTTCTTCCAAGGAAAGAATTCACGACACGTTTATCAGAGTTTTTCTTTTCCTCGTTGTGATACCAGTGATGTTGTCTTGCTCTGTAAGTAATATGCAATAATTTGTTTTCACCTTTAATTTTACAGCCTTGAATGAAATATTTACATTGGTGTAAGCCGGCTGATGATGATTGTTTTCTTGTTTTAGGTCATTTACTATAAGGTTGGGAAATGGTATGAAAGAAATGAGCAGGAAGGGCTATTTCCTGTGGAGGGAGATGGACGTTCAAGAAGGAGAATCAAAGGAGTTGGCGACCCAACTTCACGGAGGTAGTTTTGGGATAGAATACACCCCTTGTGGCACAGCAGCAATTGGCCTTCTTTGATGAATCACTGAGAAGCTCATTTTGATTGCAGACCCTTAACGTTCGGAGGGACATTCTTTGTGCTGCAGAAACAACCTCCTGGCCTGAGGCAGTGTGACCCCATGGCTGCACACTTCATGTATTTGAATGAATGTAGACTGAAACATATGATCTCATTTCTGAGCCAAGGATGAAAGGAAATGAAAAAGATGAAGGACACACAAAAGCTCTTAATGAAAACAAAAACAGATGCAGTTTTTCCCTGCAGCTGCTGATCTCCCTGCATATTCAAGCATATTTGTTGTATGAATGGGAACAAAACGATTTATGGAGGAATTGTAGGATTGTGTTGTATTTATATACGTGCTATTAATGTACTGTTTTGTTCGGGATTAGAAATGCTGTTAAGAATTATGAAATGATTGTGTGATGTGATTTTCCTTTTGAGAATTTTCTTTACAGGTGTTTATATTGTTTGATAATGTGCTTTTTAAACAAGTGTTTTAACAGCTGACCTGGTATGCGACAGTCACTCGGTGGTTCAAGAAAAGAATTTTGAAAAACCTGTTTCGTGTTGCACCATCTGCAATAACATAGTGTTCAGTCTGAGTAGCATTTATGAGTTGGAACCCTGACAAATGCTGACAAAGAAGGGACTGTGTGCATCTCATAAAGATTAGTGCTTTGTTGGGTAACTGAAGTCACACATCAGGGATACATGACATACAGGATCATACAGCTTTGTGTTATTACATCCTAAACATCATGGACATGTGGACACGGACCCTGTTAATGGTTGACAAACTGCACGTCAACCTGTTGGTGTTTGATCACCTGACTCACTCATTTATCTGCTGTACTATTAAGTCAACTTGAACTTTCTTTGCTGAAGGTCACGCAGCTGCCTGCATGAGGGTGACACAACACGTAAAGGATGTACTTAACAAAGTTGTGTCAAATGATCCGTGTTTTTCAGTTGTATTCGTTATGAATTCAGTTGAAGAACAAAGAACAAAACCCCACGTGTGATAGGATTCAAATCGTCGAATTTCTTTGAATATGTTTTATTCTTCAGCTCGTGGAGAGGCCATCCGTCAAAGGTGTAGTAAACAGTAAACAGATCTCTGATTTAATCATTTAATAACATTTACCAGATCAGTTAATTCCGTGTCTACGGCCAAAATAAAAAATGAAACCAAGGGCTAGCCTTTAAAATATCAAATGGTCCGGTCCTTTTGGTAGTGATGTGATAATTACCATTAAAGGGAATTTCCAATCAGCATACTTGTGTGACGCACCTTTTAAAAGGTTGCTGCTCGACACAAACAAACCTGCCTCCTGGACGGGACATCAGTGACTGCTCAACTGCTGACGCATTCAAAGGCTTGATGATACTTTTCATAAACCAAAAAGGGTGCTGGAGTGTACATATATATTTTTTAATGCAGGTGATAAGAGATCAACAGAAACAACAGGTCATTCATCCATTATTTCCTTAAAATGTAACATTTACTCAGAGTTTGAACATTGATTGAAAACGTTTTTCAACAAAATCAAATTTCTTTACAGTAAATTGTTTTTCAAACAAAATACATTGGAAATAAGAATCATCATCTTCCCTTTCACACGGATCCCAAATACAAAAGCAGCTCACTATCGGCGGTTTTAGTGTTCAAATAGAGTCGGCGGTGCTCAAGTATCTTGAATTTAGTTTATAAATCCTGAAGAACGGTTCCTCTCAGTGGGAAGGAGGCAAGTGAAAAAAGAAAGGTCAAGGAATCCCCTCAAAATGTGGCTCTGTTTCATAAAGTTGTCACCTCAGTACTTTCCCTCCTTGTCTTTTCTTTTCAGAAGTCCATGGACAAGGACCTTTGCTGGGCCATTTCGTAGTTACCTCTTCGGCTTCCTGCTCTGCGCACGTACACATCACACCTTCCATCTTCCTCAACCTCTTCGTCCTCTTCCATTACTCTATCTTGACGGCCCATCGTTCTGTTCGCCGTACCCTGACGTCCTTGCGTTCGTCCCGGTTTCATACTGGGCCAGCTCTTTTTCCGCATACTGCTGTTCAAGTCCCTGAAGGTAGGTAATGCCCTTTGCAGGTCCCCCCTGAAAGGGAGAAGCTCCAGGGACCCTCTGCCCATTTCACATGCACCGTGGATGGCTTTGACGGAGTTAAGAGAAGCCTGAGAGCCGCAGTGGTGTTCGTGAACACAGCGTGAGCCGGATGAGGATCTCCTGAGTGCCTGCAGGGACTGGAGCTTCTCTGATAACTCCCCAAGGTCCCCAGACATGTCCTAAAAAAGATACCGTTGTTGTGTAAAAGAAAATAACCTTGTATAGCGAACAATGTTTCGAAGTAATCAAACTAACCTTGTCTCTGAGAGTAAAGAGTTCATAACGCGGGGGGTCAAAGACCTCCTGGGAGTCCCCTCGATGGAACAGATTATTCGTACGTACCAACACCTAACCGACACCAAATTATGATTCAACACACCGATATTTTGAGACACGACACAGATTAATAAACATAGCATCACTCTATAGTACCTTTTTTCGTGGCTGTTTTACTTGCACCAGGATGGAGACGATGAGGAGCAGTAACACAACTCCCGTAGACACACAGATTACTGTCCCATGAGTCTTTGTGATCTGGTGAAAAACCCCTTTGTTCTTTTTCTCTGGATGACGGATATGAAGAGAAACAAAGAGACATGAAATATGTCGCAGGGAGTACCTCAGTAAATTACGGGCTGCTATTTCCATCAGTTTGGTCCCTATATTTGGTTTCTAGGTACAATTCAGAGCCTTCACTAAATCTCAGTTTAACTGATAAATAGCCAAAATAATAAATTAAGATGCTTAAGAGCCAATAAGTCAAAAGGCCTTAATGGTTTTTTTTGCTAGAAAGCCGCCAAAGATGAGATCATGATTTCTCCTGCCAAGAGGACATTGTGAAAGGATATTCTGTACAGTCCAACATTCTCCAGTATGCACTACTTTGTATCAGGGACAAAAAAGAAAGACTTTTGAGCACATTTAAGAAAAAGAAGAGGGAAAGGCCTGTGTGAGTGTCTATTTTAAAGCAGATTGTCAAGCAGGTATTACAGTACATAACGCCACACAACTCATTTTATAATACAGCACAGCCGATTTTGTGTTTAGGCACAACTGGAATACCTTTGCAGTTGCTTTCATCCCAGGGAAAGACACAGTTTTGTATGCCGTTGCACACCAGAGAAGTGTTGATGCACATGTTAGTGTGGCAAAAGAATGCACTTCCCAAACAGGGTGCTGAAACACAAACAAGTGCATGAGGATGTGATGCCATCAGAGCCAACATTTGCTAGTCACGTTACACTGTTGCATTACGCTGTTGCGTTATGCTTTTCTGTTATGACACGTTGTTAAATTACATTGTTACTTTATGTCAAGTAGATACGTCACGTTGTTACGTCACGTAGTTACGTTACGTAGTTACGTTATATAGTTACATTACATATTTATATTACATAGTTATGTTACATAGTTACGTTTTTACGTCACAGTGTTAAATTACGTTGACAGGTCACGTTGATAGGTCACCTTGAAAGGTTCCATTTTTACGTAGTTACATTACGTTGTTACTTTACATTGTTGGGTTACTATGTTACGTTACCTTTTTACAGTATCTAATTATTTTACATTTTTACATTTGACAAGTTATTTCTATGTTACCTTGTTATGCTACTATTTCAATACATAAATAATCTCTAACCAAGAGGTTTTGTTGGCTATAACATGAACCAACTGCATTAAAACATTAATCCCAGGTCATTGTGTGTTCCAAGGCTAATCTGAAATGTATTTTTCGTTTCAAAAACTTCAAGATTAAATGTATTACGTGATTTTCTGAAGTTTACAATGCCAGTATTCTCTCTAGGAACTGGGTTGGGCTTTTCATACAGCTTCTATCAAAACAGCTTTACTCCTTAAAAAGCTGCAGATTGGAAACCACAAACCACAAACCACAAATCTGTTCACAACATATGTCCAGTACCCACTCTGTGCTTGTCACTCCTGCAGAATCTAAACAACAAGAATAGAGGCTACAATGGCATATGGCAAATTTTCCGGCGTGAGAAGGTGAAACTCACGGTCCTCAAAAGAAGTGAACAGCATCTTGAAGCGGCTGAGACGGCTTGTTTCATCAGCCCACATCCTTACTACTCCGACACCGGTGTCCAGCATGATGTCATTAGCTACTGTACTACAAAACTTGGCCTGCAAGAAACCACACACTATTTTCTTGTAATGTTTTGGATGTGCGGTCTCATTGAGGTCAAGGTCTGTAGAACAGTTGCAAATTGTATAACAAGGCAAAAAAGATACAAGTACAATGTAAAATGCAATAAAATGTGCAACAAAATACATATTGAGGTACTTTTTTACAGGATTTACAGGATTTTTTTTTACAGTATGTATTACCTTCAGGTCCTCGATGGCATTACTGCCATCATAAACCGCTACAAAGTTCTTCTTACATTCATTTGAGTTTTCCATTTGGTATTCCAAGAAACGCAGGTAAATCTGGAATAAGCAGTGAGGAGAGATGGAATGAGCCCTCTGATGACATCAAGACCACACAGAGCCTTCACATCTTCTGCCGCAAACTACAAACTACTACAATCAAGCACATTTATCTCTGGTTTTTGCAGAAACAAAGCTTTTTTTTTTTTTAAGATAATATACAGGAATGTAAAACCAAAACAGGCCGAATGCCATACCCTGTTATTCGCAGGGGCTCGTATAGTCCAGATGCAGTCCACTGCCTGGTCTTGCTTCACTTTATATTCCTCCTCCACCTGACTGGAACGGATCAACCCGTCAGCTCCACTCAGCTCAAACTGACAATCTGACCAACAGGCAGAGAGTAGACAAGAGGAAGGCCATTTGAGCAGATGGTGAAAGGAAGCTTCTGTTAGTTAGTTATTGGACTAGGCAGGGATGTGTAGTTGTCTACCTGGGATGGGGTTTAAGAGTCCTCCCACGTGCAGATGAAACTCAGGATCTTTTGAGGGGACATTAGTTAAGTACAGTCATTTGGTTGGCTAATAACAGCAGAGACATTTCAAAGCATTCATTTGAGAACAATGGATGAACATTCACTAAGGACGAGGATTGTATAGTGAGAACATCCACAGTGTTTTAATCACCTGCTGTGAAGCTGTACTGGACTTGAAAGCCGATCCCCTCCAGCTCGTCGTCGCTGAAGAAGCGGATCCACATGAAGCGTCCGCTGGAGAGAACCAGTCCAGGAGTGGCCGAGCCACAGAAGCGGTTGATGAGTGGCGAGAAGCTGAAGGGGCCGTCCCGCACCTCAATGTGGTCGAAGCGACATTCAAACGAGGCTTCGATGTAGAAGGTCTGATCAAACAGCAGCTCTATCCTCTGGCGGGGAAGAGCTGAGGGAAGCAGAGTGATTTGTTGAGTGACCAGAGAAGCGTGTTTGGTGACCTATTGTAGAGATGCACAAAATGACAACACACATCCCTTGCTGGGCAAGATATTGTGAAAGCTTAATGTCTGCCAGCTTGTTTGTACTTGTAATACCACAGAGGGAAAACTTTAACTTGTGTGTTTAATCACAGTAAATCCTGAAATAATAATCCAAACACCAGTGTGACCAAGACAGATGATGACAAGTACCGGTGTTATTTTGATCTGAGGATTCCCTTTAACGTCCATCAGGGGACTCAAACCTAATTCAACATGGAAATCAATATTTATAAAGACTCTTTCACCAAGAACTGTTTTTTAACAGAAGGGAAAAGATCAGGCTTAGTTGTTGGTTACCTTCCAGTACGTAGAGGCACTCCTTGTTGGGAGGGTATGTTTTGGGGTAGTTTGGGGAGCTAAAGGAGCCCCCTTCTGTGTTTCGTTGCCAGTTTCCACAGTGATGAGGTTGCTTCGGCCGTTGGGAAGATCTAACCCCCTTTGAGTCTGGACCTCCATCTGTATGTACGACAGCCAAGAATTTTGTCTTACATTCAATGATGGAAACATCATCTGTGTAGTTGGTGATGAACATGTGAAGACTGAAGACTGGCCTCTTTCCACAAATGATGAAATTTAGATTGATAAAGTAAATGCAATAGGGGGATTATCCATCAAAAGAGTGTAGTGAATGTATCAATCCTACCTTTAGTCTTTTGTGCCAAAGCGAATCCTTCTTCAAGGAACAGGAGAGACAGCAACACTGCAAAAGAAGCATTGGGTGAAGAAGAGTTCAATCAAAGAGTAAAACGAATAGAGAGAGCTTAGCAGGATTTGTGTGGATATGCTTTGGTGTCTTAGATGAAATCCTGAATGTATACGACAGGTCAGGCAGTTTAAGAGCTTGACAGAGACAGAATCAGAACACATTGCTTCTACTTTTAACTCTTATTTCTACACCCCCCCCCCCCACCCTCCCCTAAGGTCTCTAACGCAGAGTACGAGAGTAGGAAGGAACTGTTGGCACTCTGCTGTCGGCCTCACTGTGCAAAGATCTCTGACAGGAAATAATAACCTTTAGTCATGAAGTCATAATTTGTGCTACATTTGCTTCTATTACATAAAATATGACCTAAATCGAGCATCTAGACCGTGGACACCAGGCCACTAGTGTCGCTTTGAGTTTTCACTAAAGTGGCGTGTTGACGGGTTCCTGTGAAGGTCCACTCACAAGCTGCAAAGCTAAACAACGGAATAATGCAGCCACGATGTGGGCAGCAGGACACAGTGTGTCATGTCTGACTGCCAGAGTTTGTGTGGAAAAAGACTACCTTTGTCAAAGTAGACATTTTCCCAGCTGATGCTATCTTTGTCCTGGCATTTGGCACAGACGTTTGAACAGAGTGATAATTTAGCAACAGCCCAGATGCTCCAAAGACGCCGCGTGCTGATGCGAGAAAGAGATTTCCTCCTTAAATTTTTTTTTCTCATTTTATTTCTTTTAGTTGTTTTTACTTTAACAAAAGAGCACGTGGCGTATTATGACAAGTTGAGCGTATTTCGGTCTTTTCAGGAATCAGGGAACATTTATCACCAGAATATGTCAGACATACAAGGAATTTGACTTGGCGGTTGGTGCACAGCAGCAGACAGTTAGACAATGGACAACAAGACAGATAAAACAACACGTAAATAATCTATAATCTATAATAAAATATAAGGCTATGGGTTAGTTTAAAAATAAAAAAATAAAATAAAACGATCACCAAACGTCCTAAATCATGTAAATATGGATTATCCCACTCACCTACAAGCATCCTCTCAGCCGGAGTCCGTTTTCTGGGATTTGATTTCCAACTTGGCCGACTGTTTATCCCTCACATCCCTACGTCAATGTGACACATTAGAGCATGTTGGATTTGCCGATTCACAGAAGTCAACTTTCACCTTTTCATCCTAATCCCATTGGTCGAGATGAAAGAAGCTTCTGGAGCAGAAAATCAACTTCTGACTCAGCATCAGTATTCCCTTGTGGAATAAGATAAGTCAGATGAGGTCAATTTCCTGCGTTTCCTGCGGAGCTCAAGTCCATCTGCCTGACAGTTGTCCTCTCAAATACACGGATGATCTGTCTGAGGCTGCTCGCGGTTTTAAGATCGGGCTTGGTTGGCGCGAGAAGGGGGAAGAGCTGATTGCGCATGTGCATCATCGTATATGAGTAATAGGTTATATGATTATCCCCTCGTAGCCTGTTTGGCATGGTAATGAATTGCATCAGGAATTTCCATATTTAAAACAAATGATTAGCTGATATGGGCAAGTGGCCAGACGCGCACACAAGGGGCACCTTTTCCAAAACACGCACTATAAATAAATAAGTCACTTCTTTGAAGAGCAGACATCGGGGCACGTTCCCTGTTTCTCTTGAAGGACACTGTGCCGAGAGCCTAAGAAAGCTGGCTCGAGCTGCAGACTGATGGAGACGGAAGCCAAGAAGTGGAGGGATGGAGATTTGTTCCCCTTTAACGACAGAACCTGTCACCATGCAGGTCCACTGCCAGATTTATGCCATTGTTACTGATTGCAACTGCTTGAATGAGCTACTTTGCTCACGGACAAGGACAACGTAAAGGATGCCCTCTGCAGCTGAACATTCCTCCTTTTGACAAATGCCTTTCACTCTCCCACTTCCATCCATCACTTTGTAGGAAGACAGGAAAGGGTCTGGGCAGAAGTATCACATGTTACAACGGCCGTTTCAATGTACAAACTCTCCAAAGCCATAATTATTCAGTAACATGATGTATTTTACTTCCACCAGTAACCACTCTGGGGTGAATTAATTTGGCAGGAGATGATCCCACTCGCCCCTACAACATATGTCTAATCCAAAAGCTGCATCCTCTGGGTCCTTTTGGTTATTAGCAGAAAGCGTTAACTCTTGGATGGAAGCTTTATTTCCTCGGGAGTGTTTGGTCTTGGGGATCGCTGGGACAAGTCGTTGAGGGATCTGTACCTGCTCTCCTACTGGTGCTTTGAATCCACCGTGAGTAAATCAAGGAAAGCGTTTGTAATAGAGAGATGTCATTTTGTCTTCTTTTTTTTAACGCAGATGGTATGAAAAATGGCAGAATTAACCAAAAGTTTTTTTCCATCCAAGAGGTGTCCTTGAGGTCTCTCAATTGCTTTCACCTGTCTCTCTAAAAACTATTCAACAGTGACAATAATCACACATATGTTTACCACGGCAAAACCTTTTTTAAGCAACGAGCAACAGGAATGAAGACAGAAAAGTGGAGCTGAAGGAGCGAAATGAATCCCACACTGTTCAGGATTGTAATTAGCATTTTGATTGCAGTCTTAACCAGGAAATTGATTGCTCTTATAAGCATGTGGTTATGGATGAAATTAACATCTTTAATTAATTAATAATTACGTTTGAGTGAGCCAAGTGACACTGCTGGGTGAAATCAACTTTTTACTCCCTCGATCATTCTAATTTTAATTGTAAAAGGACACACGTGAGTGCATGTGCGTGGCTTGCATTGGATATTACTGAAAACGTCCGACAATTCTAGAAGCTTTCAAAGAAAAGGGTCATCGTTATGATCAGGGGTTACAGTTCACAGCTACATGTAGGGTTAATAAGTCCTTGCGCTCTTCATTAATAATACATATTACTATCTGCTCATGCTTTAAATCCACAGTGCAATAAAACATTAGGAAACATTAGGGAAGAAACCTTAGGGAGAACATTTCCTATGCCCGAAACGATTCAAGTAATTGTGAGTAGTAAGCCAGGCGCACAGCAGGACCACTGCAGGGGCAACCACCATCACATAGAACCACCATCCACAGAAGCCTGTGGGGAGGGAGAGCACAGAGACTTAAGGAGAGGGTAATGTTGGGTTTACGAGTACAGTAATATGATTAATATCTAAAATAATAATGATGATGATGGCAGCAGCAGGCGTCAGCAGGGCCACGGCAGGTGTCAGGACCAGGGTCCAGAAGGAACTACGATCTACGGAGACCTGCTAGGGGAGAAAGCACAAAAAACTCCTGGAAAGAAGCTGAATTAGTCATGTGCATTAATAAAACGTGAATTATGGTAGAACGAGAAGCGTGAGAGAGGAGCTCGGTGTGTCCTAAGAATTCCCCCGGCAGTCTAAGCCTATAGCAGCTTAACTAAGTGCTGGTCCGGGCTAACCTGAGCCAGCCCTAACTATAGGCAGAATCAAAGAGGAACGTTTTAAGTTTTACTTTAAAAGAGCTGACCGAATCTGCCCCCCGGACTGAAAGTGAAACCTGGTTCCACAAAAGAGGAGCTTGATAACTGAAGGCTCTGGCCCCCAGCCTACTTTTTAAAACCATGGGAACAACAAGTAATCCAGCATCTATGGAGCGCAGCTGCCTTGTAGGGCAATAAGGTGTTACAAGCTCTTGAAGATACAACGGTGCCTCACCAGCAAGTGCCTTGTAGGTGAGGAGAAGTACCTTAAAATCTATTCTTAATTTAACAGGGAGCCAGTGCAGAGAAGTTAATACAGGAGTGATATGATCCCTTTTCTTAGTTCTTGTTTAATACACGTGCTGCAGCATTCTGAATCAACTGGAGAGGCTTAAGAGATTTACAAGAGCAGCCCGATAACAAAGAATTACAGTAGTCCAGTCTGGAACTGACAAACGCATGAACTAATTTTTCTGCATCACTTTGAGACAGGAAGTTCCTGATTTTTGATATGTTACATACATGAAAATAGGCAGTCCTTAAAGTCTTCTTTATAGGGCGTTGAAGGTCATATCCTGGTCGAAGAGAACTCCCAGATTCCCGACGGTGCTGCTGGGTACCAGAGCAATTCCATCCATAAAAACTGCATCACGTGACAGCTGGCTTCGAAGGCGCTCTGGGCCTATCAGGATAACTTCCGTTTAGCATCAGGAAGTTGCCGGTCATCCAAGTTTTGATGTCTCCAAGACATTCTTGAAGTCTAACTAGCTGGTCCGTCTCTTCTGGCTTGATCGACAGATACAGTTGAGTATCGTCTGCATAACAATAGAAGTTTATGCGGTGTTTCATGATAAGATCGGCCAAAGGAAGCATATAGAGGATAAATAAAATCGGTCCAAGTACAGAACCTTGTGGGACTCCGTGACCAACATTGGTGGTCTTTGAGGATTCACCGTTTACAACGACAAACTGGGATCGATCCAATAAGTAGGATTTAAACCAGCTGAGTGCAGTTCCTTTCATACCAATTAAATGTTCCAGTCTCTGCAACAGGATACAATGGTCTATGGTATCAAATGCGGCACTGAGGTCCAGCAAGATAAGAAAAGAGATGAGTCCTTGGTCCGATGCAAGTAGAAGATCATTCGTAATTTTCACCAGTGCTGTTTCTGTACTGTGATGCGCTCTAAATCCTGACTGGAAATCCTCGAACAAAGCATTGTTTTGTAGAAAGTCACATAATTGATTTGCGGCGGATTTGCGGCGGAAGGCCCCAGCTTGCGATCACAATAAGTAACGGACACTACTACAATGATGGCTATGGTGGGTTTATTTCCCCTACAATAACAATACAAACATTTCAACAAACAATTACACACAAGTACAAAGACACGGGATAGGAGGACTAACAGGTAACAAGGCCTGTGGAGTAGGGCGGTGCCAACGGTCTGTCAAAGCAAAGAAACAAAACAAAGGACCCTGAGCTTCCCTAACCCTCTAAACCTACCTACCACAATCTAACCTATCACACCACTTACCTCACTGCTACAATACACAGGGTGACAGCCGCTGGCTTCTAATCTAGTGTATCTAACAGAGGTTTTCCCTACGGGTGTATGTAGACCCCAGGGTATCTTACCTAGCCCTGCTCCACAGCACTCTTGGGGTAAGTACATAAACACAGACCTGGGTGTACAATAGACGACAGTTTAACAAACAACATAAACCATATATTCTTTCAATATCTAAATCAATGTCACTCTCACACTCTCCCAAAACACAAGACCCCCTCTCTTTTTTCAAGCTCTCACACACAAACATTTTTAAAGGAGCAGAGCTGAGAGCTGGATTGGCTGGAGGAACAGCTGGCCACGCCTGCATCGTCAGCAGCAACTCACCACACCTGGGAAGAACAGACTGGAAACAAAGACATGGGGGAGGAGAAAACACTAATGGAGCAGCCGGACGTAACACAGCAATACAAATCCATCTTCATGCTGGAGATATTTGGTATGCTGATCTATCTGTTCTAGTTCTCTTAATTCGAGTAAAACCTAATCTCTCGTAGCAACACAAAAACAATATCAAATTTCTGAGTTTAGACACACAAGTGAAAATGAGGAAGTCGTTATTACTTTTGAGGGTGTTTAAGCTTATTCCCAGACTGAAACCACAGTTCAAAGAGTGCGAATGTTCACTGTTGATCCGCATAGATGACGGTCTGATTAAAACTTACTTCATCACATGACCGCGATTTGTTCATGTGTTTGCTTATATGGTTCATATATGTTTTTTTTAACATTTCTACTGATACATCAATTAAAAGCAGGTCCTCAAGAGACCCAAGCTAAAGTAAAAACTTTGGTTACGGGTTGAATCATCAGCTAATCTCACAAGTCGGTCAGAAACAAAGAAGCAAAACAGACCATTGAGAGGTGATGCTTTGAGCTGTTTCTACTTTCAAATGAATTGCCATATGTAGACCATGCATTGGCTTTTACCTGATTATTAGAAAGTCTGATGGAATTAAGTTTACTGAACCAACAGGTAAACAGAGCAATTCTTCCAAAAATCTGATTATCAACACCCAACAAAGCCACTCTCCTCAGTTTACAGGGTGTTTTGCCCAAAACATTTGAAAAAAAAACACTGTTACTTTACTCCTTGTTTACTTCACGTCTTTGACCATTAGGAAACGGCTCTAGACAACAAAATTCCCCAGATGACATATACTCAATAACAAAAGTGTTGTTTGTCTCACATTAATGATTTGCTCATGGGAATGTTTACTGATCACAGAAGAGATGCTACGTGGGAGCAAGAGCAGCCGCCCAGATCCTCCATAAACAGATTACGAGAAAAAACAAGGTGCTGAGTGCAAGTGAAATATTAAATAATGAATCCAAAATGGTTTTAAATGGATTTCTATTTGAGGTATTTTGATGGCTTACAGTAGTTTTTTTACAGACATTTTAGAATGGGTATTTCTTTTCTTCATCCATTTAATCTGTTGTCATATGGGCCAGAGATAAGAAGGGGGTTTAGCATCCGCTGTTCCTGCTCGACGATATCACATATGTCTAAATCTGTCCAGAAGGATATTTGTGTCATCTCTCCGACTTGGACTGCTGGGACCATCCGGCTTTGAACACTAAGCTGAGTATTATGGACGGAGATGCCTATGCGGATGATTAAATGTCAGAAATGTAGATAATGCTTTTGATGAACTGTCTTTAGTTCCTTAAAGAACTATGTATGTATGGGTACATAGAGTAAAGGCATTAATTGCTACACAATATTTAGCTTTATTGTCGTCAGCCAGTGCAGGATTTAAGGAATGCGCTGTGCATAAAGATTATGTGATAAATTGCCACATAATCTACAGCTGTAACGTCAAAAGCCATTAGTGATCGTAAAGGCCATGAAATGTGTCTAAATAAAAAACACAAAAAATAATTTGATGATTTAAGAGAAGTCACTGGGATGCAGTAATCTGTTCCACCCAATATAGTTTGGATCAACTGACTTCTTTATTTTCAAAGTCTAAATCTTCTACTTGTCTCTTGGATCCGATTCCGACCAAGCTGCTTATGGAAGTTTTTCCTTTAGTTAGCACATCCTTATTAGATATTATGAATCTGTCTTTGTTGACAGGACATGTACCACAGTCCTTCAAGGTAGCTGTAATTAAACCTCTTCTTAAGAAACCTACTCTTGCTCCAGAGGTGTTGGCTAACTACAGACCTATCTCTAATCTTCCCTTCCTCTCTAAGATCCTTGAGAAATCCGCCGCAAATCAATTATGTGACTTTCTACAAAACAATGCTTTGTTCGAGGATTTCCAGTCAGGATTTAGAGCGCATCATAGTACAGAAACCGCACTGGTGAAAATTACGAATGATCTTCTACTTGCATCGGACCAAGGACTCATCTCTTTTCTTGTCTTGCTGGACCTCAGTGCCGCATTTGATACCATAGACCATTGTATCCTGTTGCAGAGACTAGAACATTTAATTGGTATCAAAGGAACTGCACTCAGCTGGTTTAAATCCTACTTATTGGATCGATCCCAGAATGTGCTTGTAAACAGTGAATCCTCAAAGACCACCAATGTTGGTCAAGGAGTCCCACAAGGTTCTGTACTTGGACCGATTTTATTTACCCTCTATATGCTTCCTTTGGGCGATCTTATCAGGAAACACCGCATAAACTTCCATTGTTATGCAGACGATACTCAACTGTATCTGTCGATCAAGCCAGAAGAGACGGACCAGCTAGTCAGACTTCAAGAATGTCTTGGAGACATCAAAACTTGGATGACCGGCAACTTCCTGATGCTAAACTCAGAAAAAACGGAAGTTATCCTGATAGGCCCAGAGCGTCTTTGAAGCCAGCTGTCACGTGATACAGTTTTTATGGATGGAATTGCTCTGGTACCCAGCAGCACCGTCAGGAATCTGAGAGTTCTCTTCGACCAGGATATGACCTTCAACTCGCATATAAAGAAGACTTCATGGACTGCCTATTTTCATCTACGTAACATATCAAA